AAGTCTCCACCGAGGACAATTCTAGATACCTGGTAACTCCCTTATCACACAGAAAGAACAATGGAATCAGTTGGATGTAATAATATCGAAATATCAATGGTTTGTTTAGAATTTAATTAATACCTTGGAAAGTATTTTAATGAGTGGCGGTTATATAATCTTGAAGATATAGATGAAAGCTCTAACGTAGAAACACGACAGCATCATAGACCTGCTGAAGTAGAAATGTCTCAGGAAAGCACCTGCTGACCCGTCGCATGAATCCTACAAGGAGATTTAATTTGTAAGCAATTACTTTGTCTAATTGAGGAATCCTGTAGACAGCTGTTCCCAATCGACAGCAACCGATTTCTATAATACAACGCTGTCTGTTTCCGTATTTGAGCATTCAAGTGTCTTTTTAAAATAATTGGTAGACATCATCATCAACGTCATCATAATCATCATTATCTTCTTCTTCTTCGTCATCGTCGCCGTCGTCATCGTCAAACAATGAGTCCTCATAATCAGTAAACCAGGTTGATGTACTGTTTAATTTGCGTGCTGAGACGCGTTTGCAAGCTCATCTGATCTAGATATTCATCAACATGAAGTTACATGTGCCGAACCCAAGTAGGATACCAAAAAATTGAAGTAAAATACGTACTTCTAGTAGTTAACATAACAATATTATTTCAGTCGTGGGTAAGGTTTTATTTGAAAACATTTCAAACAACTCTAAACATTAGATAACGGGGAGATTTGATAGAAATAACGCACGTTCATTGGATGAAAAAGTAACGATTCCCGAACGCGCCGTATCAGGGTACTCAACAACATGTATTTGTTAAGGTTTTTTTTATTTGAAATTTTGCTGATAAAACTTCGGAGACAAAACTACCTAGGTAGGATTATATTCGGAGACAATAAAAATGTACATGCGAACTTTTATGACAAGTTTATCGATTCATAGTAAACCTTTCTCGCGATGGAATGCGTCATGTATAGTTTGATATCCAATGATAGAAAAAAAAAACAGAGGTTAAAGAAATGAAACAGAAGAGAGAAAGGAGACAAAAAACCTGGCAATGGATAGTTCAAGTTTAGCCTCTTCAATATCCTTTGAAGAAAAGCCAATGACAACCCTTAATTCTGATGGGGCCAATTTATAAAGAGAGATAGAAGAAAGATACGTACGAAAATATGTGGTGAATACAGCAGGTTGCAATCACGAAGACAGAGGGAAATTTGTCCCATTAGACGTAGTGCCCATTCCAGCGTTATGGAACATAAAATCGTTTAAAACGTGAGTTATTTTTTCTCGCCCGTTTGACCATTCGTTTAGTATATGTTCAAACACCGAAACACATTTTTGTATTTATGATTCATATTTCTTTTAACATAACGAACCAAACGAATTAACGACTAAAGTCAAGTGCTCGTGATGGTAATATCTATTTGTACTCAATGGATACAAATATCTGTAGGAGACAGACCGTTTACTCATGTCTGATGCTGTATTAGAAAATACGGACCAGAGAGTGTAAAGGATAAAATTCTTGTGTGTTTCAGTATTGATTTGATTGTGCGTTAATTAATCGTTCACTCTAATAACTGACATTGAATTAGGGATAAAAAGAACATACAATCATAACATATTGATTAGATACACAACGTTAACACAGTAAACACTGGTGTCCTGTTACTGTCGCGTTTTCTCGCCATATTTGTCAATAGTAGTTGTGATTATAATCTTCGGCGTTAGACGACAGAATGATTGGTTTTTAACTGTATGTAAGTGACAAACAAACCCATGATCACTGCTGCCTCTAACAAAATCTTATAAAGCACCTCATCAAATGTCACTTTCCCACGAGGGAAACATGAAGTTGTCCATGAATCACTTTCCCTTGAGGGCAATATATGTTATATCCGCAAATCACGTCCCTTTGTTGGAATCAACAAGCTGTCCACGAATTACATTCCATTGAGGGAGGCATATATGTTGTTCTCAAATCACGTTCTTTTGAGGGAAATATATATCCTGTCATCGAATCACGTTCCTTTGAGGGAATCATCAAGCTGTCCACCAACCTTGTCTTTTGAGGGAAATATGTAAGCTGTCCACGAACCACGTTTCTTTCGGGGAACCACTTACGTTGTTGACGAATAAAGTATCTTTGAGGAATCATCAAGCTGTCAAGGAATCGTGTTCCTTTGAGCGAACCATATAAGTTGTTCACGGATTATGTAAGATTGTTACTTGTAGTTTTGCCTGGTTCCATTGTTACCAAAATTGAGAACCCTTCCTTAGCAAAAGGCAGTACCAGAATGCTAGCTTGATGATTGTACAAAGTTTCAGGAACTTATCTTGAATGATTTTATAGTCATCCTCCATACAAATGAATTTTTTATTTTGGCCTTTCTGTTTCCATGGTAACGGAAAAAGTATTTTAAAAGGAAACTTTTCCATAGCAAAGTGCACCACTAAAGTACTAGTTTTAATAACTGTACAAGGTTATGAGCACTTATCTTGTTCAGTTTCAGAGCTCTGGTTCAAAAAAAAAAAAAAAAAATTAAAAGAAATTTGTAAATTAGCTTATTTGTTTCCATGGTGACAGAAAAAGCATTTAAAGAAGAAATTTTCAATAGTTTTGAGTATTTTCAGAGCTCTGGTACGGAAAATGGCCATGCTCAGGCGGACGGACGCGTTTCGCAGGGGATTATAAAAATGGAGGACCTCCGATTACGGTCAACATGGCGTTTTATCAACCTGATTGAAATACTATTGACCATTTGATGACCTCGTCAAAGTTCCGAGATCGATAAATATTAGGAATTTCCATCTGCAAGAGTAAAATGAAATTTATCAGACAATAAGCATCATTAAATGCGTGACCATTATGACGTCATAAATTGGCAAAAATGGATAAAATCTGTTTTCGGGAACGAATAGCTAATCGAAAATAATAAATAGCAATTAAATAGCACATACAATGGTAGCCATAGTAATCACAGGTATTATATGACATTTATACCGCACAATAGTGTATGTGTATCTATATATGCTACGTCAGATGCATGCTGTGTCATTTAAATGATGTCATAATGAAGCAAATTGTGCTGCAGCTATTACTATAACTATCTGCTACAATTTGATTTTTGAAGTCCGTATTTTCAATAGATAAACAATGTCCATACCATACTCCAACATTAACTAATGGTCAGACTACAGCCTTACCGTGACCACTGACCACTTAGTAAATGTCACATTTCAACAAGTGCCTTTTATTGACCTAGCGCAAACAAATTCGCTCGTGCTGGGTTTGAACTGACCACACACGTCTCTGATTGGATAATTTATACATGATCTGAAGTGGATTTCCTTGTTCATTTAGCCTTTTGAGAATGCTTATCTCGTGTGTTGTCACGTGATCGACCGAGTGAGGTCTTCATTTATAGGTCAGCGTTTGAACCCCTCTTTGTACTCTGCCAACAACAAACTCTATGGCATCTATCAGACATAGGCCAGTGTTATCATCACCTTCAATATGTCTGGCCAGGGTTTATAACACAAAACAATGGCATTTTATTGAATCAAATGTCGTTTTTGAAAGACGGGTGGGGTAAAGGGTTTGGGAGGGGGGGGGATTTACATACATCTAGAATTTCGTTCTAATGATAGCAATCACTCCTAGATAAAAATAACGACAAGCTTCAATACAGATATTATTTCTAATACATTGATCATGTCATATATCGTGATGTTATAAAAAAAAAATCTACCATATTTTACCATTTAAATACAACTAGTTACTGAACCTGTTTCTCATCTTAGAGGCGTGATAATACATATAATAATAATGGTTTATAATAAAAGTTATTGCTACAACAACAAAGAAAAAAAGATAATTTCTGGCTTAAGCTCTGGAATAAATAAAGAGACGGCAAAACGAGTGGGGGAACTGAAATGCATAACACAAATGTCCTTATACCATACAACGGCAGCATGCGCGTGACAAGGGATTTCTAAATGGTATCAGAACGCAATTATGAGATTTATTGGAGTTAGTAATGATACTGTAAATCATCTAATCATTCTTAATATTTTGACAGTCTCCCTATAGAAATTATTTGATAAATGTGTTAATTTTAACTACAATGTAATATAAGTTATGACCACGGCGTGAAGATATGTGACTCAGGTTGTGATAAATTGTAAACAAAGGCCGTCACTGTGTCAATGTTTCAACAGTACGCTGTGCCTGTACACACTCACAACAATATAGGTCATATTCTGTAAACTGATCAATTGTTCAAATTTTCAAATATAATTTTGTTTGCAAGTCAGAATTGTCTTGTTACTTTTGATGGTTTTAATTAAAAAAAAGATTAAACCAATGAAACTGTGACTGATATCAGTTTACAAATAATTATTTTCACCAATTAGGGATTGTGGGGATATCACGTCACTAACATTGTGGGGATATCACGTCTGTAACATTGTGGGAATATCACGTCACTAACATTGTGGGGATATCACGTCTGTAACATTGTGGGGATATCACGGCTGTAACATTGTGGGGATATCAGGTCTGTAACATTGTGGGGATATCTCGTCACTAACAATGTGGGGATATCAGGTCTGTTACAATGTGGGGAAATCACGTCTCTAACAATGTGGGGATATCAGGTCTGTTACAATGTGGGGAAATCACGTCTCTAACAATGTGGTGATATCACGTCTCTTACAATGTGGGGATATCACGTCTCTTACAATGTGGGGATATCACGTCTCTTACAATGTGGGGATATCACGTCTCTAACAATGTGGGGATATCACGTCTCTTACAATGTGGGGATATCACGTCTCTAACAATGTGGGGATATGTTGGTCTTTAAATAAATCGCTTACTTTTTCTAAAAAGTTTTAATTCTCGATAAGTATCTTTTCGAGTGATGCTTTTGTTAATTTTACACACCTACAACTTACCATTACCCTTACTTTTCTTGATTTTTAGTACGGTCAAATTCACGTGTGTGTCCGCGAACTAGTGCTGGAGAAATTCAACCAAGAAGCATGGGACAAGATAATGTAAGTGTAATTGTTGTTTTTATGCTATGAGGTTTTTATGTTGATTTTGTTTTTTTTTCACCTTTAAGCTACAGAATGTTACATGCAGTTATACATTTTTCCTGTAAAGTAGTTATTTTCTATTGGGTTCTATATAATGACATACAACACAGTAATAAAATACATTGAGATCAAAATTAAAAATACAGAAAAACAGATTCCGTGGCAAGGTTTACGGGAAATAGACGTCCATTTGGCTTTGAAGATTTTTGTTTAAACAAATTTGAAGAATCATCTTAACTTTAACAGTTTGACATAAAGCAACTTCTAAAATTTATAAGTAAATTTTGAAATCAGTGATTTCTCTCATTTACCATTCATTAATTTCGGTTGTATAGGTACACCATCAATTATCAATTATATGGAAAGGCATCAGGGCTCGGTTGTTCGAAACTCTCGTTAACTAACGACATAGTTAAATGTACCGAGTCGTTCACTTATTATCTGGCTCGGGTTATCTTTCCCTAACGCAGTTTTTCACGTGAAAAGTTATTTCGTAAGCTTTAATAACTGTGAAAAATTAGGTTTATAGAAACATGTTGCATCGCAAATTACACTAAAATCACTGATCACTGATGTGATAATCTAATCGCATACATTATTTTAAATAGTGTTATATAAGCTAAGCATTGATGAATACTACAAATAAGTTTTAATAATAATATCAATTTAATACATGAGATCATTCTCGTAATATGTCATTGGGAGTAGTCTCCCCTGGTGTTAGAATATCAACCTCCGAACCACTAGATGGCTCACCTTGAGCATACCTCGCTGACAGGGACCACCACCTTAGATAATTCGATTATGCAGCAAAGAGGATCTAGAGGGCGCTACAGGCGGACAAATTATTACATAAGTTGTTATGAAAGTTATTTTCATGCACTCTTATGCAAACAATATCGTTGTGTATTGTATTACAGCTATATATTTTTTTACTAACTTATATATATTTGTAAAAAGATCTATGTTCGTTACAGTGTGAAAATTTCAAACAGACAATCCCAGTAGCAACTATTAGCAAACATTTACTTTTTCTACCAAGAGTCGCACTGGATTTGTCCGACCAAAGGGAGACTACTTCTAGAACTATTAAGAGTCCGAAATGATTTCTTACCATGAGTTCTGCTGCTGATATCGTGAATTCTTTTATCAATGTTCACACCGTGTCGCAATCGATGAAATCAAATATTGTAAATTGTTCTATTACTATTTTAATGTTGTTGCATTTACTAAAATAATAGCCTTATGCCTCCTGAAAAGATATGTTCTTGTAGTTCTGATGAAATATTCAGATATAGCAATATTACAAAATTCATTGAATTTTGGGACTAATGCACCTCCTAATATGGATGTTTTTTCTCAGCTGTCTCATAGATTTCCAAATTTAAACCTTTAGCATAATTGACAAATCTTAAAAGCTGAATGGAGCAATTAAATTCATTATTAAGCCAACTGTATTTTATTCGGTTGTGTGTAATTTGTACAATGTAAGCGTCGCCGTTTCATATAACTTACAGTCCACAAACCTAACAGTTTCCGTTCCCTACAGTCCACAAACCTAACAGTGTCCGTTCCCTACAACCCAAAACTCTAAGAGTGTTCGTTCCCTACAGCCCACAACTCTAACAGTGATCGTTTCCTACAGCCCACAACTCTAACAGTGTTCGTTCCCTGCAGCCCACAACTCTAACAGTGTTCGTTCCCTACAGCCCACAACTCTAACAGTGTTAGTTTCCTACCTCCAACAGATCTAACAGTGTCCGTTTCCTACAGTCCACAAACTTAACAGTGTCGGTTCTCAACAGTCCAAAACTCTAACAGTGTTCGTTTTCTACCTCCTACAGATCTAACAGTGTTCTTTTCCTACCTCCCACAGATCTAACAGTGTTCGTTTCCTACCTCCCACAGATCTAACAGTGTCCGTTCCCTACAGCCTAAAACTCTAACAGTGTTCGTTTCCTACCTCCCACAGATCTAACAGTGTCCGTTCCCTACAGCCTAAAACTCTAACAGTGTTCGTTTCCTACCTCCCACAAATCTAACAGTGTCCGTTTCCTACCTCCCACAAATCTTACAGTGTTCGTTTCCTACCTCCCACAGATCTAACAGTGTTCGTTTCCTACCTCCCACAAATCTAACAGTGTCCGTTCCCTACAGCCTAAAACTCTAACAGTGTTCGTTTCGTACCTCCCACAGATCTAACAGTGTTCGTTTCCTACCTCCCACAGATCTAACAGCTTTCGTTTCCTACCTCCCACAGATCTAACAGTGTTCGTTTCCTACCTCCCACAGATCTAACAGCTTTCGTTTCCTACCTCCCACAGATCTAACAGTGTTCGTTTCCTACCTCCCACAGATCTAACAGTGTTCGTTTCCTACCTCCCACAGATCTAACAGTGTTCGTTTCCTACCTCCCACAGATCTAACAGTGTTCGTTTCCTACCTCCTACAGATCTAACAGTGTTCGTTTCCTACCTCCCACAGATCTTACAGTGTTCGTTGTCTACCTACGGTCCACAAAAGTAACACTGACCGTTCTCTACATCTGACAAACATGTACTGTATATAAGTAACTTTCTCCAAACAAGGCCGAGTTCTCAGCACCGCCTTAGTTTTATATTGTAGAGCGAATAATCCATATGTAGTTACTTTAAAGAAATAAAATAAGAGATTTAAAAAAAATCTGACCTAAGGGGATTTCATCCACCAGAACAACTCTTACGATGTGCTTAAAATGAGTACAAAATTGTAAGTCTATGGTTTTGCACCCACACATGCAAAACGTGATCTGAACATTACTAAATCATTTTGATTTCCAGGCGTTCTAGCAAATCTATTTCCCAAGTTGAAGTAATTTCAGTCAGAATATGACGTTGAAATATTGTCCCTCAGGTCAGACTTTATTTTCATACCAGATTTGAATTTTTACATGGATCCATATCCAATTTTATTGCTTCAAACTAAATTTTAGTTCAAAGTCATTCAATCTGAGGTCTCACACGAACAGATTTAATATTGATTTTTTTTTTCAAAAGTCGGAAAAACTTTTAAATGATATTTTTTTACGTTCTATTTTTTGTTGTTGAATCATCAGAAACTAATATAAGACATTTTTTCCATTGGAATATCAAACGTAGATTCTCTCTATCTAAAATAGCGTTTAAAGTGGTACGCTAACCATTCTATATCAGTGATGTTTGTCTATATACCATGATGTTATCTCCAGTAGCTATATTCTGTACAGTCTGTCGGTGATGTTTGTCTATATACCCCGAGGTTGTCTCCAGTAGCTATATTCTGTACAGTCTGTCGGTGATGTTTGTCTATATACCCCGAGGTTGTCTCCAGTAGCTATATTCTGTACAGTCTGTCGGTGATGTTTGTCTATATACCCCGAGGTTATCTTTGGTAGCTATATTCTGTACAGTCTGTCGGTGATGTTTGTCTATATACCCCGAGGGTGTCTCCAGTAGCTATATTCTGTACAGTCTGTCAGTGATGTTTGTCTATATATCCCGAGGTTGTCTCCAGTAGCTATATTCTGTACAGTCTGTCAGTAATATCTGTCTATATACCCCGAGGTTGTTTCCGGTAGCTATATTCTGTACAGTCTGTCGGTGATGTTTGTCTATATACCCCGAAGTTATCTTCGGTAGCTATATCCTGTACAGTCTGGCAGTGATGTTTGTCTATATACCCCGAGGGTGTCTCCAGTAGCTATATTCTGTACAGTCTGTCAGTGATGTTTGTCTATATACCCCGAGGTTGTCTCCAGTAGCTATATTTTGTACAGTTTGTCGATGTTGCTTGTCAATAAACCACGAGGTTGTCTCTAGTAGCTATATTCTGTACAATCTATCAGTGATGTTTGTCTATATACCCCGAGGGTGTCTCCAGTAGCTATATTCTGTACAGTCTGTCAGTGATGTTTGTCTATATACCCCGAGGTTGTCTCCAGTAGCTACATTCTGTACAGTCTGTCAGTGATGTTTGTCTATATACCCCGATGTTGTCTCCAGTAGCTATATTTTGTACAGTTTGTCGATATTGCTTGTCTATAAACCACAAGGTTGTCTCTAGTAGCTATATTCTGTACAATCTATCAGTGATGTTTGTCTATATACCCCGAGGGTGTCTCCAGTAGCTATATTCTGTACAGTCTGTCAGTGATGTTTGTCTATATACCCCGAGGTTGTCTCCTGTAGCTATATTCTGTACAGTCTGTCAGTGATGTTTGTCTATATACCCCGAGGGTGTCTCCAGTAGCTATATTCTGTACAGTCTGTCAGTGATGTTTGTCTATATACCCCGAGGTTGTCTCCTGTAGCTATATTCTGTACAGTCTGTCAGTGATGTTTGTCTATATACCCCGAGGGTGTCTCCAGTAACTATATTCGGTACAGTCTGTCAGTGATGTTTGTCTATATACCCCGAGGTTGTCTCCAGTAGCTATATTCTGTACAGTCTGTCAGTGATGTTTGTCTATATACCCCGAGGTTGTCTCCAGTAGCTATATTTTGTACAGTTTGTCGATGTTGCTTGTCAATAAACCACGAGGTTGTCTCTAGTAGCTATATTCTGTACAATCTATCAGTGATGTTTGTCTATATACCCCGAGGGTGTCTCCAGTAGCTATATTCTGTACAGTCTGTCAGTGATGTTTGTCTATATACCCCGAGGTTGTCTCCTGTAGCTATATTCTGTACAGTCTGTCAGTAATATCTGTCTATATACCCCGAGGTTGTTTCCGGTAGCTATATTCTGTACAGTCTGTCGGTGATGTTTGTCTATATACCCCGAGGTTGTTTCCGGTAGCTATATTCTGTACAGTCTTTCGGTGATGTTTGTCTATATACCCCGAGGTTATCTCCAGTAGCTATATTCTGTACAGTCTGTCGGTGATGTTTGTCTATATACCCCGAGGTTATCTCCAGTAGCTTTATTCTGTACAGTCTGTCAGTAATATCTGTCTATATACCCCGAGATTGTTTCCGGTAGCTATATTCTGTACAGTCTGCCGGTGATGTTTGTCTATATACCCCGAGGTTGTCTCCAGTAGCTATATTTTGTACAGTTTGTCGATGTTGCTTGTCTATAAACCACGAGGTTGTCTCTAGTAGCTATATTCTGTACAGTCTGTCAGTGATGTTTGTCTATATACCCCGAGGTTATCTCCTGTAGCTATATTCTGTACAGACTGTCAGTGATGTTTGTCTATATATCCCGAGGTTGACTCCAGTAGCTATATTCTGTACAGTCTGTCAGTAATATCTGTCTATATACCCCGAGGTTGTTTCCGGTAGCTATATTCTGTACAGTCTGTCGGTGATGTTTGTCTATATACCCCGAGGTTGTTTCCGGTAGCTATATTCTGTACAGTCTGTCGGTGATGTTTGTCTATATACCCCGAGGTTGACTCCAGTAGTTATATTCTGTACAGTCTGTCAGTAATATCTGTCTATATACCCCGAGGTTGTTTCCGGTAGCTATATTCTGTACAGTCTGTCGGTGATGTTTGTCTATATACCCCGAGGTTGTTTCCGGTAGCTATATTCTGTACAGTCTGTCGGTGATGTTTGTCTATATACCCCGAGGTTATCTTCGGTAGCTATATTCTGTACAGTCTGGCAGTGATGTTTGTCTATATACCCCGAGGGTGTCTCCAGTAGCTATATTCTGTACAGTCTGTCAGTGATGTTTGTCTATATACCCCGAGGTTGTCTCCAGTAGCTATATTCTGTACAGTCTGTCAGTGATGTTTGTCTATATATCCCGAGGTTGTCTCCAGTAGCTATATTTTGTACAGTTTGTCGATGTTGCTTGTCTATAAACCACGAGGTTGTCTCTAGTAGCTATATTCTGTACAATCTATCAGTGATGTTTGTCTATATACCCCGAGGTTATCTCCTGTAGCTATATTCTGTACAGACTGTCAGTGATGTTTGTCTATATATCCCGAGGTTGACTCCAGTAGCTATATTCTGTACAGTCTGTCAGTAATATCTGTCTATATACCCCGAGGTTGTTTCCGGTAGCTATATTCTGTACAGTCTGTCGGTGATGTTTGTCTATATACCCCGAGGTTGTTTCCGGTAGCTATATTCTGTACAGTCTGTCGGTGATGTTTGTCTATATACCCCGAGGTTATCTTCGGTAGCTATATTCTGTACAGTCTGGCAGTGATGTTTGTCTATATACCCCGAGGGTGTCTCCAGTAGCTATATTCTGTACAGTCTGTCAGTGATGTTTGTCTATATACCCCGAGGTTGTCTCCAGTAGCTATATTCTGTACAGTCTGTCAGTGATGTTTGTCTATATATCCCGAGGTTGTCTCCAGTAGCTATATTTTGTACAGTTTGTCGATGTTGCTTGTCTATAAACCACGAGGTTGTCTCTAGTAGCTATATTCTGTACAATCTATCAGTGATGTTTGTCTATATACCCCGAGGGTGTCTCCAGTAGCTATATTCTGTACAATCTATCAGTGATGTTTGTCGATATAGCTCGAGGTTATCTCCAGTAGCTATATTCTGTACAGTTTGTCGATGTTGCTTGTCTATAAACTCCGAGACTGTGTCTAGCAGCTGTTTTGTATTGACACCTATACCTGTCAACATCCCTCTCCTTCTTCTGGCGGTAACGTATCTAAACACGGTCACAATTTCCTTAAGAATCCGTCCTCGAACAATAAACCTATTGAACCCTCCCTCGTTTTCATAAAGTAGAAGAGAGAGAGAGAGAGAGAGAGAGAGAGAGAGAGAGAGAGAGAGAGAGAGAGAGAGAGAGAGAGAGAGAGAGAGAGAGAGAGAGAGAGAGAGAGAGAGAGAGAGATAATTATAATAAAGCAAAAACTCGGAAAATGTTGACGAATCCGGAGCTTTTTTTTACCGGCGTCGTTTTATTTTATTATCTTATTGACAGATATACATACTGTCAAAGCCTTTCTAAGTCATAACATTTAAAAACACAATACGTTTAGAAATACTGAATGCAGCAGTAGATGTTTGAGGATGGTATGCTAATTGTATAAAAGTATTAAATGTTTAAGAAATAAGATATGGGCATTCTGATACGTCTGATATATCGTCTAAATTATGAATTGATACTTTTGTTGTACAATATAAGCTTGTTTCAAAACAGATCTTTCGGCCCGCAAAATCTTAAGATGGAAACAAAAATATGCAAGACGCACTCTGGTTCCATTTTAAAAGACTTTTTCAAACTTGCCGAAGAACTTTTCATTAATTTGGTGTGATTTGTAAGTTAGAATATACATGTAATAAGATGTAACTAATACAGATCGCATGGGCAATGTGTAAGATCAGGCTCTTACAGCTGATGTCTGTACGGCAGTACTTAAAGTGACACATGCTTTGTCATACATATAAAAAAAGAAATTCTAATTCAAAACATGAAACCGAAACTAATGCCACTTATACTCGTTTTAAATAACCACAATGAGATGTGTTTATGAAACACTATGTTCCTGGTTGCGATAAAATTTGAAGTGGGACATAAAGATTGTACCGTGTAAGTCATGCGCACTTTGTGAAACACTTATATCTCCATTGTGGTATGTTTTAGTCCAATAGTTATGGCCAATGTATAATATTTCAAATGTAGGTCACAGGTTAAGGTCAAAGTCAAACATTTTAGTACTACCAGAAATGTCTTGTCAAAAGGAACATACGTGCCACATATAAAAACCCTACCTCTTATGGTGCAATAGTAATGGGCAAGGTTAAAGTTAATAACACACAAACAAACAACCAAACAGACAGACAGACAGACAACCAAACAGACAGACAGCCAGTACAAAAAAAAGGCAACCGGGGGCTAACAAAGCATACACTAGATAAAACGTCATCCATTGCTGTTTGAAGACTTTTGACATTATTGAGTAAATAGCCATGATATAAACAGAAAATGAGCAACAGCGGTACACGTGTCTCTAAGGGAGTTTTACAGAGTATGTCACCAAAAGTATACTGGATTAACATTGAAAGGATTAACACAATTAGAGGGGAATTGACCACCAGAAATGATACCATTAGCTAGAAAAGGACAATGCAACTACGAGATGTTTGTTACCGTTCAAAACTGTCATACAGAAATGTTAACAAAATTGTAATTCAAGCTCAATATCGAAATGAAGGCAAGGTATCAAGGTGAGGATTTAATCAATGTCATGATGAAGAATAAAGACATTCAACAGTTAAAGAGGTAACACAAACATAGGATATATTAACCACAGTGACGTCACCAAAAAAGACACATTAAATATCAGGTATCAGTTCTAAAACAGATGCAACCAACAAAACAGAAATACGCATTTCATGTATTTCCAGATTGCAATGGCTATCAAATTAAACATTCGATTCATATCTTTCACCGGCTGTGTGATTGTGTGATTCTTTTAATAAAACATTTTGTTATTTCAGAGAGAAAAGCGGGTTCGACGAAAAGGTAGATTTTATGGTTTTCCACAAGTACCTCGACGAAAAGACATTTGTCCTCATAGGAGCCGTGTGTGAGGTATCTGGTACGTATAATTATCGAAAGACTTAAAATTTGACGTTGAATAACATTGTCCTTAAACAAGAAGGGTGGTAGGGATATTAACCGGTTGATTTAAAATATATTTATTGTGTTCTTCAAGTAACAAATGAACATGCATCATGTAGGTTTTTCGTCCTTTTAAAAGTGTCTCGTGTTAGGGACAGAAAGTGTTGAAATCACGACATCGTTTGGGTGTTAAATATATATATGAAAAAACAGTTTTATTAGTTTGGATATCAGATACCGCCAATAAAATGACTATATCAGAATCGGTTTCAAAAAAGAAGAAGAAGAAAAAAAAAATGCCATTTTTGGCCGCTTTAGAGACTGAACACAAGTGAACAGCACCTTTAAATACTTTCGATTTTGTTAAAGTCAAAATAGAATAACAAAATGGAAATTACTCATCGAGCAGCGTCAAGGATACTTGGAGGCACCTTAAGTACTAAGATATAGAAAGCGGTTTAACTACATCAAAAGAAAACCTAAAACAATAAGATGGAAAGGTGAATTAGCCTCCATGATGAATTTCCTACCTTTTTAGTATTGCATGAGTTCAAAGAAAAGTACATTTGCACGTCCCTAACCGTCCGATATTCCTATGAATAAAGGAAGTTCACACGTGCTTTTTAGTTAAGGGAATTAAATGAAATAGACTCTTCTTCAGTCCAATTTTTTCATTGTTATATTTGCACTCATGATGGTCGTTGTAGCCTCAAAGATATATCACTATCGTAGTGAATGTAATTCGATCCTTTTTGCCTGTAAGTCACTCGGTTAAAGTATTATATGTCTTTCTGAGTGCACATGACCTAGATTTCTTCCTACACTCAGAACATTATATTTAGTCACCTGGCATAGTGGGGAGTCGAAGCTGTAGGTTTTGAAAAGTTGATCGATTTTGCTTTATATGCAGTTTAATATGACAATCTGTCTAAACCTGACTCCTCTTTCAACGTGACGAAATATCAATGATATATATGTCTTACTTTACGTCCCATCCGTGATTAATTCACGTGTTAAAATGGAATACACAAGTATCAAAACAGACAGTGTGATATGTACTTTTTCTCATTGCTTGTCGTTTTTTGCTCAACCTATGTAATACACACCTATCAATGTAATTTCCTGGTGACGTCTGCCTTAATGAAGACAAGTTTGCTGATTCCACTTTGTACTAGCTACGAGATAAGAACCATTCGCTAAGGATAAGGGTAAGGTTACAAATACACTTATATAACTTAGTCGACGAAATATATCTTACCTTTAAAAGAAAACAACATGTACCTGCTTTGGAGAGGGTTTCTGAAAATGTTTGTTAAATGGACAAAGTCACAAGGATTTTATTTCAATATTCTTTGAATTTTTTCACGTTAAACTTGTTTATTTAGCATTCTTTTTTCTCCAAAAGTCAATATTTTATTGCCCTAGAACATTCAAACTTGTAGCTCTCATTCAACACCTAATTGACATTCATCTGTTCATTCATTTGCCCATCAGACCTTTCTATAATTCGTTTGCCATTCATTCATTCATTCATTCATTCATTCATTCATCAGATCTCTCTGTAATTAGTATGTCATTAATTCTGTAATTCATTCATTCTGTAATTCATTTATTCAATTTGTAAATTATACATTCATTGTTCAACTCAATAATTCATCATAAAATATGAACGGACTTTTTTCAGTGAGTTGAATCTATAAGCAAATACAAATCATTCATTCATTCATCTTTTTTACAAGTCTGACATCATATTGCTCTGAGATAACATTTTAGATAGATGAGACAAGTAATGTAAGTTTGTACCTCTGGACAAGCCAACTGAACAGTGAACAAGAGGAGATAACTTGTGTTCTACTGAAGAAACAAAGCATTCCTTTTTTTTCCCTAACATATCATTCAAAGATTATTAAAAAGCACCCCATTTTTCTTCCTGATATATTTCTCTAATTTCATTGTTTTTGCAAAAATAATTCTACACATTCTAAAATATGAATTGGAGATTTTCATGCGACAGTTAGATATATGATGTTTTATGAAAATTAGAAAATGGTTTAATAATTGTCAATACTTTGGATCACCGAGCAGAATATTTGTGTCTTTGAAGTTGTAGTATGGATGTCATCATGTTCAGTACACCATCAATCGATCTCTCCAAGTAAATTCTATACATAATAGCAGTGGTATGTTCCAATGTTTCTGTTTCCCTATTACACAATGTTCATAGTTGTTGCTAAATTCAATTTGTAAGAAGAATTCTGTCACTGATTTTATATTGAAAACTTTGTAATCTTATTTGCATTGTACATATAAACGTATTGGCATATATCTCGTGCCAGTTAAAATTGTCATCTATTTCTATAACAGATTTCCATGAAATTCTTACTGATTTTATTACAAAATGCTGAACAAATTTCCATTAAATAAATTTGCAGTCAGTTTTGATCAACATAAATGTTATAATATCTTCCTTCCTAGTGGGTACTTTAACTGTCTTGTTTACTATAGAATGGCATATAATAAAATTTAGAGAGAGAAGGTATTGTTTCTAAATCGTTGAATTCTCTAATGACAACATAATGAAAAAGAATCCCAACTTATCTACACTATTTCGTGTTTTCCACTGGCTACATCACTTTATATTTTCAACTTGCTCACAACTGAATAAGCTCATACATATATACTCTAACAGAGTATCTGACTCTCTGGAATTTTGACAAGGCATTGACTATATCAGAAAGGAGACGTCCATAGTGTTTTGCTATTAAGTTCCAACGAAAGTGTAGAATAGAATTACTTTTAACAAAGAATATCCAAATTTTCCTTGAAACCTCAACTATTCTTCTGATCCATTTTACTTTTAGATATTTAAGGAAAGAAAACAATGGTCATGTTAAGCCCTCCATCTTACCTACATGCAATTAGAGTGTTTCCTTTGACTTTTTCAGTTTAAAATTCCATATTAAACCATATCAAGTTTGGTTTAACTTAAGTAGACATGTTCCAGAAGCATTGGAAGCTTCGAAAACAAATGCACAAACTTGGGTGATATAAGATACTTTAATCAGTGTTACACGCCCAATCAATGTAAAGTCTCGACAGGTCCAGAATCGTAAAAAACCTGCTGTGGTTTACTTTCATAACTGATACGCTCCATGTTTTCTATAGCTAATGAAAATGCAATATCCAGCAGTTTGACCAAGTAATCTTCAGTTGAGGACATATTATTTCCTTTGATTTTTTTTGTAATTTCCTATCCAGTATAGAGTAGACTTTTGTAAATTTATCTTAAGTCCTGATGCTATGGCAAAAACGTTCAATAACGCTGCGTATAAAGGTTGACTATTGCTATCAGGTAGGAGGTAGGCATCGGCAGCACATTGACCAAGAAGCAATTGGCTTTCTGTCATAACTATGCCTTTAATATTATTATTGGATTTTTTAATGATAAAAGTTAAACTCCAATAATAAATGAATATAGTTACAATGGGTCGCTTTGATGACAACCAAGACCCAAGTCAAATAAAGGTGATAAGTGATCATTGTTAAGTATAGAGTTTTAAAAAAGTTTTATCAAAAACAAAATAAAACCATTTGCATAAAGACTCTCCAAAATTAAAATATTTCAAAGCCTTATGGATAAAATTCCACTCAATTGTGTCAAATGCTTTTTCAAAATCCAAAATAAACAAGAGTCTTGATTGCCTTTTTTCGTCTAATAATGTCATACAGAAGCGTAGTGTTATCCCATATGAATCTACCCTTAATCAAACCTGTTTGTGTTTCATTTATATTTTTTGGAAGAACAGTTTGTTGGCTATAGCTGCAGTGGCAATCTTGCAGTATACAACTGATAAAGAAATGGTTCGCCAGTTTTTTTTTTTTTTTTTTTTTATAAAAATCTTTTGTCCTTATCCTTTTTTGGAATACAAGAAATAATTCATTGAGTTTGAAAATTAGACAACTGACTTGTGTTATGAATAATTAAGTGATCTATTTTAGAAGACTCATTGGTCCCTCCTAAAACATTTTAAAATTCCGCACTGAAACCAACTAACCATTGACATTTCCTATTATACTTTCAATGCCTTTTCTAGTTCTGACAGTTTTATTTCCTCAACACAATTATTCTTATCAGTGTTATTTAGTCTAATATTATGATGAACAAATGGGAACGTTCTAATTGTGGAAAATTATGTTGTTTCGATGTAAACCGGTTCTTTAAGATATCTTTGTTTGCTTCAATTATCTCCCTTGGTTATCCAATATGTCCCCACCATCTGTAGTTAATTCAGTGATACTTTTATTTACAAAATGACGCTTTTCTAAATCAAAAAAGAAAACTTTGTTGCCTTTTCCGTATTAGTATACCAGTTTGCTTTTGACCGTAAAATAAGACCTTCCACTTTATTTTCCCTACTAGATTCCCGTCCCTGTTGTTTGTTATTGAATTCTCTTCCAGTCTCCTCTATCACGTTCTACTTTACCGAAATCTACATCTGATACTATACAAGAGTGATCTGTTCTGTAACATGGTATGAGTTTTGAATCTTTCGTTTTTGAATATATGTCTTTTGAAACCAAAACATAATCTAGCCTGCTTTGTCGAATAAAAATTGTTTAAGTTTCTCAAAGGTCATACGAAGTAATTGTATTTTGATTACTTTTTGAGATTTTGGAGTATTATTGTGAAGAATATTATGAGTGTCTGTTTCTCTGCTCTGTACCGTATTTCAATCACCAAATACGATCAATACAATGAACTATATTTGAAGACATGTAAGGTGGGCAGAGGGTTCTCAGAGAATATTTCATATTCTTATAAGCACGGTATGTATTGCACAAGATAATTGTGTCAGATTAAATACACTCATGTGACATGTTTAAAGTTACGGTATAATGAAAAATAAACATATTATGATCAGCTCTCATTTAGGCGCCTCCTGGTTGAATACGTTATCTAATCCTACTCTCGAGGCATTTCAATTCAGAACAGGCAATACGGTTGCCAAGATTTTCTGAGTCCTAGCAAACATATACCCTACAAATCAGTGAAGAACACATATTCTGAGTGTGATATGAAAATATGTTGACTGTTGAAATAAACATCAAAATTATTCGTACAAATGTAGGTTTGGCGCTGCCAGCAGTACTTGAAGTATTTGGAGAGTATTTCCTGACCTACTGCTTACGACACGGATACGACAAAATGCTACGCACTCTGGGAAGTGATTTTGAATCCTTCATACAAAACTTGGACTCTCTTCATGCTCTGCTGGCCATGAGCTACAAACAGATGGCAGCACCTTCATTCAGGTAAGATGACGAAGTGGCACATCCTATAAAATGTTAAGAATAACCAGCGGGTTTTTGTTTGAGTAAGGATTATATTCCCTCATTCTCTTCACACTTAAAAGAGATCAAGTTCATTCCATCAAAAGAATTAGCAGTTGAAATACTTTGTAGCGATTGAGGGAGAAAAAAACCCCCAAAGAAATGCCAGAAACAATATACGAATGAGCACTTGTTCAATGATTACACATGTCTAGCGACGTGTTTAGGAATTTACCCGTTCTTTACATTTTATATGGCACATAGATCAATGCAAACTTCGAGGACTAAATGTTCACTAGCATTACCACAACCACGGAGATCCTTGGATATAAAAAGCGTGCACTCCGATAGATAGTGTTTGTTACACATGTGACACAATAAGATCTTTTCCTGATATCATGGTGCCAAGTAGTATTAATATATTTGCAAGTCATTATCATAAAAGAAACACAATGGCTACAGCCAAAAGTGTTATTCATGTGGATGATATAAGATAGAGGTGTGGCACCTCCGTTTGGTTTGACAGAAAAACAAAATGTCCCCAGGTGAAATAGTGTGATTATGTAGCTGGTACTTTCAGTGTAACACAACAACTGTCGGTTGATAGTATAGTGACAAATACATGTAGTTCCAAAACAACATAGTTAATTTAGTGGATATTTGAAACATTAACCCTTATCCTAAAAATAAACTTGATTTAAATACAACTCTATTAAATGTGATTCAGAAAACATTCGAGGCATCATGTGCTTTCAACCTCGAGCACTTTCATTGTCTGTCATTGACTTCCGACTTGCGTATCAATTATTCTCAAGCAAAAAGGGGTGCTATGTTATTGAAAGAGCTTACTTTCTTCCGTTTCCTTTGAGAAAATGTCTGATTTCAAATTCATAAAGCCAAAAAAGCGAACTAATATCAGGGGACCAAAAAGGTATGAGTAACAGAATTTTGACTTTGTTTAGCCAAACAAAGGTCAGCGTCAATCAGACAGCTACATTCCACACCGTTGAGACATAATACAGAGCACGGTGACGGCGCTTTCATAAAAACGGTAGATCACTCAAGGTATTGCCATATAATTTGTCTAGACAGGAATAATCAGGAAACATGAGTTAATTTTCAGGGCCTGTTTTAGTGTGGTTTTGACTACATTTTCACATTTTCACGAAAGTGAAATAAAGTATGATAAGCTGTTATCACACGTCCGAGTCGCGATGCTTGTAAGATTTTTTTTTTTAATTTTAAATCAGATTTAAGTGCTAACAAAATGAAGAGAAAAAATCGATATGCTCATTCTTGTGGTATGTGGATTTCGTGGATTATTGATCACGTCCAAGCTGATTATTTACTGTCCGATGTCACACTATATGGAGTTGGACATGTTTGATGCTTGTTGTTATGTCTGGTGGTTCCGCTTTGGTTTACCTTGCTCCCATTTCAGAACGTGACATTACTTAATAGATTTGTCAGATTTATATGGCGGCTGTTGACGATAAGGTAGAAGACCCTTGCCCTTCCGACTCAAATGGTACTATTTCACGTGTACTTACTCTTTGCGAATCCTACCTTATGTGATAATTTGCCTTGGCTTCGTAGAATTTGAATTTACATTCTTTTGTATAAATTGTACGTTTAGATACATACCTATTCATCTTTTAGTTCCAGTAATTTCTAATTTTTCTTTTAAATACTTATGAAGGAATATTTTTCGATTACAATGTTTGTTAAAATCACAAAATTACCATATGGTCCAAAGACACACAAGTAACTGGAAAAGATAGATGATTTCTGTTTTCGCATGTCTATTATCAGTCAGAATTGTACTATAAAACGAAATAAACCAGCGATTTATTTAATTATTTTATGAATCATTGATATTGTGTATGGTGTGCAATTTGTTATGAATTTTGGATTCTTTAGGTCCGCTTTCATCATACAGAACGTCTTCATTTTTTAAGATAAATTGACCAAAATGATGACAAAATACAACTTATTGATTTTCTGTTTGCCATAGTTTCTTGATAAATCTACTTTTGTTGACTTATTGTCAAACACAAAGTAGAACTATATGGATTGAAATTCTGGATAAATATAGGTACTGAAGTCACAATCAGGCAGGAACTCGAATGTCCAATGCAATATTTATACTGGCGTTACACAGTCTCTAGATGAAGCCTATGAGTGATGATTTGTGCTTTTACCGATATTTACGCATGGCGATTAGGCTTGCACAGCAGTGTGTTGTTCTTGGGTGCGTGATATTTGTTTATATTCCTAAATTTTATTTAAACGGGAATTAAATGTGAAGAGGCATTAAGAAACCTGCATTCTGCTTACAGTATAACAAGGCTGTTTGAGTAATCAATATCAGAAGGAAATGTGTTTTTTAATATTTTATGAAAATCTGTAGTTATGAAGGCCAATTTATCAATTGATTCTATTTAAAAACCATTCCGTGTACGTGCATATAAGTGTACTTGTATTTGATATATGGATAATCACATTCCTTAGAGTTCGTTCTCGACACGAGCACAGAAAATAAAAAAATGACTTAGAAAATAAGTGTTTCACCCGTGAGGAGCAGGCGCGTCAGCGAAGCTCTTAATGGCAACGAACGCATACGTAATTGGAAAAGACAGGGAGCCAAAACATTATTACTCCCCTTTACTTCATATTGTTCTCAAATATTTTTTTCGGGGAACCGGAAACAAAAAAAAAAAAAAAAAAAAGATTATGTTCTCGAACCATGTAAAAAACCTAATTTGTCAGGTTTTCATGTTTTTTTATCTCTGGCAATATAAAACAAACTGTTCCATTAATGACACAACATGCTGGTTATTTTACGTCATTGTTCATTTGAAGTTTTTTGTTTTAGAGACGAAAAACTAATACAATATGCTTCCCTGTGTTACATGTTTTTCCTGTCTGCCCGGCGTCTTTTCATAGTGTCATCTTCTGTTGCTTTTTTGACACATAACAAAACAAGCTTCTTGTTTGGAAATAAAAATTAGACAAACCATATTTTGAAGCAATCCAATTAAGGAACCCATATTGCAAGATTCTTTTTCAGTCCCCTATAAAAACAAAACGCTGTACTATAAGTCTGTTTACCTTTGTGTTTTGGAAATTTACCATAAGTAACCGTGTAATGGATATATCATTGTGTTGAATATTGCACGCCATTGCTATGATATAACCCTACCAAACTCATATGTTATTACTAGCTTATCAACTGCCAACGGCTTTGAAATATTGAAAAAACTGAAAACGTAATAATATTACCTACTTAACTGGATGAAGATTAAAAAAATGACAGATATGTACGAGTATTCAATAGTTATGAACTGCTTCAAGTTCACAATAATGGCAACGTGAATGCCAATTAGATAACTGAGCATACAGCTCTATTGAGTTTAACTGGGTTTGCTCTACCTTGTTATCATTAATACGTCTACGAAAGCAGTAAGTCGAAAGCTTATATTAACAGGAATTTTTTTTCTGAATTTTACTATCAATTTTCAACGGTATGATCAGCCACCAATATTTTCGTCATGCTTCTAGCCAGGTTTGACTTCCTGATTGAATTTGTCACGTTTTGGCTAAAAGCGTCTTCTTTTAAAACATTTTAAGGAAATAAAAACAGCCTTACGATGTAGATTCGCTATTCAGGATTTGTTTCTAGATTGACATTCTAAGGCATTATGCAATATTCCGAGACTTCGTCGGGTAGTGACCTTACCTACCTTAACTTAAGGGTTAAAAGCTGTGTATGTCTACATCAAATGGCGTAATTGATTTTGGATTGCGAGGCTTCAGGCCGTTTATAATCGAATATGAAATGACAAATGCCTCTATCAATGGTGCATAAAGCACTTAATAAAAACGACGGAAAGGTTGGAAAGGATTGTCTGGCATGTCATCGAACTTTTTTATGTGTAGTTTGTCGTGTCCTTCAGATTTCCATAGAATTTGATAGGGTTGACGTCGTCTTTGCAACCTTTTACGTGTTTCAAATATGATACCACAGAAAAGGTGTTTTCCTTTTGCTATTAATGTTGTTTCCAGAAATATCGGAAGTCTAGTTTGTTTATCAAATAGTATATACATTTAAGTGGTATTTCGTTATGAGTTCTCAACGAAACTACGATTTTCTTGGTTAATTACGATTGCTGATGGGCAAACACAGCACTTGATAGGGACCAAAGTGGGAGCCATAATGATGTTATTTGAAATATGATATTTTATTGCTAGATAATTAGGATCAAGGGTCAAGTCTTGGCCAATCCAAATGTTCTCAAACGTGGATACACGTAATATTGACCAACCAATACATGTAAGGATTCGAAATCACTTGATGCTGACCAAAGTAGGGTGCTGCGAAAGGTCAACGGTCTTTACTTTGATTCCTACCCGTGGAGGTTTATGCCTCTTAGGAAAGTGGGATCAAGAAACGTTTTGTAATGTCTTGAACATGTTACCCCTGTTACTTTGGATATAATGGGATTGACCTCCTGCATGACTTCAGTGAAAAATTACCAGTTTATCAAAACATAATGGCTGTCCTTGAGAGCAAACAATGTAACATTTCGATACCCATGTGCTTAAACTCATTACGTTCTTAAATAAAAGCATCATATTCTAAATCGTTTATGTACGATATTTAGTTCATTACAGTGTTCAAGACTCTTTGTTGATTTGTGCAATATTTTAAAGTTTGCAGGTTTAGGACAGAGTAACCTCTCCATTTCATTTTTTATATTACTCTCGACCAATTTTGATTTTTAAAACCTCCCTCTAGATTGCATGATCTTGGCTTTGACGAATGCAAGAAGGACAAACACTTTTTGATGGAATTTGATACATTATATGACTATGTTATTCTAAATTTTCATTAAAATAATGTAAGTATAATTGTGTGTCTTTTGTATAAAATTGTTTTTGTGTATATTGTTAAGACAATGCCTGAATATATCAAGGTGTATATTGTAGATGTGAGACAGATGAGAATGGCCAGTTATGGCTTCACTATTACACTATTCGACCAGGACTTTACCCAATCGTCTTAGGTAAGAGGCTCCGAGGAGATACTATATAATAACGCTGGTCAATAATGACACTTGATTAATAGTGTTAAAAGGCTTTATACATCTCCTTCATCGTTTTCTGGTATGATTATTAATTCTGACATTTGATAAATTGATTTCCATTGCTAGTATCTTGTCTAGACCGTTTGATCGTCTTCTCCCATGAACTGTTGGTAATGTTTAAATCATCTATCTTTGATAAAGGTCTTCGCATTGCTGTCCAAACTTTCAGTTATTAAATTGTTTTTTATCGATATTAAGGTCTTAATTGCAAAATAATTTTTTATTCAGTCCATTCTTAACCAAGAAACACATTTGTCTCTTGTTTATCAGCTTGTTTATGCCTTTTATAGTACATTTCTTGTCTCGTTATACTAGATATGGGTAGTTGTGCGGTTTAAACTATACACAAATACTTGACATTACTTTACATCATTTTAATATTGAAAATTAACAACTTTTTTTTATGGAATCTATAACCTAACACGTGTAAAGATCGATTCTAACATCTAAACCTTTTAGGTTTCTACATTATTGGTCAGAAGTATCAATCAGACATTAGTTTTACCGTGAAAGAAACCATGGTATTCAAGATAAAAAGTTGAGAGTGTTTTAATTATTTATATAATTTCATTTTTCTTTAAATATTACTAATCATAATGTGATTTCGTTACCTAGGTTTGGTTCGTGCGGTAGCGAGAGATCTATATCAACAACATGCGAATATAGAAATGTTCAAAAAGTCGACAGAAAAAGTTACAGGCGGGAAACCTCAGGAACATGTAATATTCAAGGTGACCTTAGCCGCCAGCAAACGTACTTCAGTGTTGACGAGGATGGAAGTGAACCGACGTAATCCCTGTACTTCCGGTTTATTACAAATAAGCCCGGATCAATTCTGTATGGCCCTTCCGTATCATATCGTCTTTGACAAAGACCTACAGATAATGCAATGCGGTACTATGATACAGAGATTCGTGCAGAGCCGTATTAAACCCGGTATTAAAATCAGTTCCATTTTCGATATCATTCACCCGATCATGAACTTTACCATTGAAAATATACGGATGTTCATCAATGCTGTTTTTATGCTTGAAGTAAGACAGACGGCCAGGGGAAATTGCAAACTCGTTTTAAAAGGTATACATATCAACTACTGATTCAATAACAAACTTTTCTTATCTTTCTTATCTAAAAGAATTTGTGTAACAAAGCGGATTTGCTCTTTACAACTAATCTTACATGATAAGGGTGTTGTTTCTAATACATTGTTCCTGGGAATTGAATTGATTTTCTGTTGATTTGTTACCAGGACACGTGTCTGCAGCACGTAAATTCAGAACAGCGATGTGGGATATGATACAACATAGCAATCGCTTGTACTAACTTTATCGGATAGTGTGATTTATAAATAGATCAACAAGATATCTATTGGTTGTAAGAAATATCCATAGAAAGATGAAATGCTTTTATCTTTTAGTAATCACATACAGATAAAATAAATCATATTTCAATTAAAATTAATGTATATGTTAATGAAAATATCAATGAAATCTGTCAAAGCCTTGGACGATAAAATAGATCTGGATATACACAAGTTGACTTCCATACGAATCAATAGTAGACCGATTCATTTGTGTAACGCTGGAGATACGTGAGACTTGTATCGGGAATTGGAGCCCGAGTCAAGGTTAATTTTATCACTTACGTATAAATCGTTATATGCGATAATGCCAAGTCATTAATTGTACCTAGGTAAGAAAATAGATTAGAATGATTAGATCTGTAAATGTTTAAGCATGTGTGCATTTTTTTTCTGTCTGATACAACGTTTTCTTACAAAACACTTAGAGTATAGAACTGCTGTATATTTCTAAAAGTTGAACACTCCTGGGTAAAGAAGGCTTAACCGCAATTGATACATATTAAAAAAAGTTGAACACTCTTTGGTAAAGATGTAACCAGGTAGTTATACAAACACAACCAATCAGAGCTTAAGATGACATTTTTGGGGGTCTGTTGGGAGATATCTCAGACAAGGTGAGGTCACCACAATGATATCTTTGATAAGGGGACATTAAAATAACAATGTTGTTCCTTGGAATACCACACAGATACATGTGTATTTTACTTGATGACGACATCAAATGACAGAGGGGACATTACAAGTCACATCTCTTCTGCAGAAAAACGCTGAAAGATGATATTTCAAAATTCTATGAAAGGACATATCATCATTGGGATAATAAAGACAATTTCTTTGCTATGAGACGGAACAAGAATTATGTCGGGGCATTTCACGGATAAATTTGCTTTTGGGAAATGGTATCGACATATTTGCAATGACGCAGTTTTTGACATTTGACAAGGAGATTGTGAAGGTCACTGTATTCTGAACATTGTAAAAAAACTTGTATTTACCGAAACCGGTACGCTCAAACCGTATTCGTGTTACGTTATTATTTAATACCTGGATAATTTTAATGAGACTAGATGTAATATATGTAATAGTGTGATAGAATAAAGCGAACCTTTTTTATTTACCTGTGATTTGGTTTGTATTGATAAATCCAAAAATTCGTGAGATGATCAAAAGTGGGATATCATTGAACTGCGTGTTTTACATTTCAATATTCCATTCAACCAGACAGCATGCTATCTAATATGTTGTCTATATAATATCTTACCTATATAATGATCACAATGTCTTACCTATATAATGATCACAATATCTTATCTATATAATGATCACAATATCTTACCTATATAATGATCAATATGTAATGTCTTACCTATATAATGATCACAATGTCTTACCTATATAATGATCACAATATCTTATCTACATAATGATCACAATGTCTTACCTATATAATGATCACAATGTCTTACCTATATAATGATCACAATATCTTACCTATATAATGATCAATATGTAATGTCTTACCTATATAATGATCACAATGTCTTACCTATATAATGATCACAATGTCTTACCTATATAATGATCACAATGTCTTACCTATATAATGATCAATATGTAATGTCTTACCTATATAATGATCACAATATCTTACCTATATAATGATCACAATATCTTACCTATATAATGATCACAATGTCTTACCTATATAATGATCACAATATCTTACCTATATAATGATCACAATATCTTACCTATATAATGATCAATATGTAATATCTTACCTATATAATGATCAATATGTAATGTCTTACCTATATAATGATCACAATATCTTACCTATATAATGATCAATATGTAATGTCTTACCTAAATAATGATCACAATATCTTACCTATATAATGATCACAATATCTTACCTATATAATGATCACAATGTCTTACCTATATAATGATCACAATATCTTACCTATATAATGATCACAATGTCTTAACTATATAATGATCACAATATCTTACCTATATAATGATCACAATGTCTTACCTATATAATGATCACAATGTCTTACCTATATAATGATCACAATATCTTACCTATATAATGATCACAATATCTTACCTATATAATGATCAATATGTAATATCTTACCTATATAATGATCAATATATAATGTCTTACCTATATAATGATCACAATATCTTACCTATATAATGATCAATATGTAATGTCTTACCTATATAATGATCACAATATCTTACCTATATAATGATCACAATATCTTACCTATATAATGATCACAATGTCTTACCTATATAATGATCACAATATCTTACCTATATAATGATCACAATGTCTTACCTATATAATGATCACAATGTCTTACCTATATAATGATCACAATGTCTTACCTATATAATGATCACAATATCTTACCTATATAATGATCAATATGTAATGTCTTACCTATATATGATTACTTATATCTTTTCTTTATGATGATTGCTATTTCATACTTTACTTTTTTAATAATTACTATTTAATATTTTACCTGTATAATTATTTCCATATTTCACACGTATATAAAGAGATATACCCTACCTGCAAAATTGCAAACAAAATTCCCAATAAGCCTTAGCTATGTATACTAACAGACCTGATCTGTTCAATACACCCGCTGTAAGATAGCTTGTACGTGTGATTGATTAGATAATCACTAATATACATTGTTATAGCATTTTATCATAATAACCTTAGCGACAGAACACCGACTGATCTGAATACATCGTGACTAATCTAGATGATCAGACAGCACGGGAAGTGTGTACAAGGTTTATTTTCCGAAATCTATTAAATTCCTATTAAAGACGTCAGTCAATTTACTTAAGGCCATCATGTAGCAATAGTAATAACAATAATATGATACAAATTTGACATCATATATGGTATGTAGCGCCTTCTCATAATTAAAACTCGAAAAAAAGAGATTATAAAACCAGGCATTACAGAATAGTAACTGTGTTCTTCATCCGTCACCCGTCATTTAAATCTTACACAATCCAAATAAGGCATGTCCCGTTCGTTTCCCAAAGAGCATTATTAACTGCAAAAAAAAAAACAAAAAAAAAAAACCATCAGGCAACAAACGAGCATCGGTTTTGTTAAAAATAAAAATAAACAAAGCAAAAATCATGATCATTAAAACGTCACCTTGTATTCGATTGAAATGTAAAAACTTGGATATAAACAGTTAAGTATTGGGCCCTTTGAGAAGTAAAGATATAAATTCCGAATGACTTCCTCCTGGACATGACAGTTTTCTTCTCAAATGACAAATCCATGTGTTCAGATACGGCGGTGAACATACGGGCTACATAAACTTCATTATCTAATATGACCACTGATGTCTCTTCAGCGAATGTTGCTTGTTAAGGCGAGTGTTGTTACATGTACTCTTCAATGATCTTCATTCATCAGCACTCAATAACCTCTGTTGAAATCGTGATGATAGGTCAGGATCGTTATCTATTCAGCCAGCTTTGACTTATAAGGTATTTAGAAGGAGATGCCTCACCTCCACCCTCCGCCCCACCCCCTAAAAAAACAAAAAACAAAAAAAAAAACAAAAAAAACAAAAAAAAAAAAAAAAAAACAAAAAAAAAACAAACAAACAAAAAACAAACAAAAAAAAAACAAAAAAAAAAAAAAAAAAAAAAAAAAAAAAACAAAAAAAATAATAAATAAATAAATAAACATCAAAAACCAAAATTGTGATGTGAAAACAATCGAATCAAAATTGAAAATACATGTACCATAATCTTATATCATGTATGGTAGTTGTTTTATTTGTTATTCAGGACAAATGCTCTGGCTGGACGATGTTTCTCAAATGATATTCCTTTGCTCTCCGCGCCTAACGAGCCTTACTGAACTAGTAGAGATGAATGTCTTTATGTCTGATATCCCAATATATGACGTCACAAGAGAACTGGTCCTACTTAACCAGCAACGTATCGCTGAAATTGACGTAGCGTATGTACTGTTTTTTTTTTGTTTTTTTTTACGTTTACACGTTTTTTAATTTTGTTTTTAATATCCGAGTAATTTCATGTACTTCAATGGTACTTAATACATTTTATTTAACTAATAACCCTGGTTGTCGTTTAGGGCTTTTTCTAACATAACTCATTAGTGTATCACTGTAAAGTGACGAGATCTGCGCTCGTGGCAGTGATCTTTTTTGGAATTTCGCTGTAGAATACGATCATTTACAAAATGGCAATACTTTTATTACAGGGTCTTTCCAAATATCAAAGTCAGCCACTGTTCATTTATCATGGCTACATATCTAAGGATGCTAGAGATATTGATGTAGTTCCCCCTAATGATAGTTAATGCGTTACCGTGCCTGCGGATATATAGGTCAGTAACGTTCATAATTGGGGTTTTAGTATAACTTACAGATAACAAGTGCAGATCAATCTGATGGTTTATTAATCTTACTGTTCGATTAAAAAAGTGTCAAATTTTTTTTTAATAAAAAGGGCTAAAGTACAGCAAATCGAGCGTACGACTAGAAGTAGATACAACGAATCATATCATATACTTCGTCCCTATTTTAAAATATTTTAGTTCATTTACAACCAATTGTACAAGATACAAATTTCTATATAGATTCTAAGGCATAAAAGGGAAGTTTGAAATATTGTACAGCATCGGATAAACTGATCGTCATTAGCGTTGCTACGGTATCATGGTTATCTACGGTATCATGGTTATCTCCCCTTATTTAATACAATTGTGTATCATATTTCGGTGGCGTAAGCATAAATTTTAATTGTTACATAATTTCAGTGAATTTAAAGACTGCTTTCGCCATTCATATAAGCCGTAAAATGTCAGTGTAGGCGAGTTATTGTTGTAATTTCATATGAAAACTTTTTCATGATTGCTTTAATATTGGAGAATCATTTTTTCAGCGCAACATCAGACTAAACTTTCATCTATTACACTTATGTAATATACTAATATGATGTAATATACTAATATGATATAATATACTAATATGATATAATATAATAATATAACATAATAATATTCCTGATGAGCTTAAATATTTTTTCCTCTCACAGGAAGAAGCTTGACGAAACGACTGCTGAGTTGAAGAAAACCTCGGAGGCGTTGGAGGACGAGAAGAAAAAAACAGAAACTCTTTTATACCAGATGCTACCAGAGAAAGTGGCTATCGAACTGAAAAATGGCAAGAAGGTGGAAGCAGGTACATTCAAGTTGTTTATGTTGTGTAAAGGAGAAGGCGACGAACTTTGTAATCAATATAACTGTTGAAATACTCCTTTATATGTCAGATAGAACTACAACAAGGAAATTCCATGTGATTTCAAGTTCGTGTATAATGGGAGGATTCGTCAGCATTTTTTTTTTCATTTTATAAGGTAGCAGTAAACAGTTAATTTGCATTTTTCCTGAAATTATTTGACATGTTTGAGCTATACAGGTATAGCGGATTGGTTATGAAAAATACATCATTACATGTATATATATTTATAAACTACATAACAATTACATTAACAGTAGAGAGATGAAATTTGTGTAAAAAAAATTTCCTCTGGTTTCTAACATTGATTGTCATGGTAACCTATTGAAAAAATGCTAAAAATGCAAAAATACTGTTAATTTCAATCTAACAACTTTCTAGAAGAAATTTAATTCTAAACACCTATCTTACAATCAACAACACTGTCTTGATAACAAAGTACTTACATTTCAGCAAATTCCAACTCGGAAATTCTTCATAACATGACCAGATGTAAACACTATGAAAATTTCACTTCCTGTAAAGCTAGTTTTTGGTGCGTAGACACAGATTCGAGACTGCCCAAATAGTAATCTCCAACACAAAGCTAAAATATTATCCTGAAAAAAAAATGAAACCCCACATTGTCCACTTAAACATGACAGGACCAATTTTAGCAAGGTTTCTTTTTTCATTTTTAATTAAAACCTTTATAATGGGATAATCTAATGAGCAAAAAAATCACCCACGGCCACACCGAGAAACTGTGTACTGCTACGTGACCTATTTTCTTTGATAGCAAGGGTCTTTCTGTGGGAGGAAGCCAAATCCTCCAGCAAAACCCATTCCGCCGAGCAAGTGTTCCAAAATTGATTTTTTATTCCTTTTTTTTTAATTCTTTGTCAAGAACAAATTGGATTAGAAGGGGTAATACTTTCGGAATGATTAATTACAAAATATATAGGCAGTTCCAATTATTACAAGTAACATGTATTTAATGCCTTTTCAGCGTGTGAAAAATAAATTCTACTAAAACTGTTTCAATCTAATTATTTTTCCAACTTATGACGGCAAAACTGTAATAACATATGATGCAATAGTGTCAATTTCATTTGTTTTCAAATTGAATGTACGATATGTATGACCAATGTTAAATATGTTTGTAGGTTGTACAACTAACCTTAATCAGTTTTGTTCTTGATGTGACTTATCGATTGAGTGTGTTTGTTCAAAACACATCTCTTCTCATTTTTGATAAACTGAGATGATAGTTCCAAATTATTGTGATTCCTGTCTCACAGCAACGCTTCTTTTGCAGTGCTACAGAAAACGCAGCGAGCAACATATTTCGTTCATGCCGATGAATATATCTTTTTTATTGCAAGATCACCTCCTCATCTAGGTTTTGAATTATTTTTTTTCTCGATTACTTTGGACTTTCCTCAATCATCTCCTTGGCTTCAAAATTAAGTCATTACTGACGAGTCCTAGAAAGACGCAACAACTGTTACATTCAGTTCAGTTTATTGTTTGTTTCTACTGTAGTCAACCATAAATATACATTAAAAGGTGTTATTCACATGAATGTCTTTTGTTAAGTTTAAAAAAGTGTAAAACGGATAGTCTGTGCCTATCATCCTTTGTATTATTAACTAGGATCATAAGAATATGGTGTGAAAAAAAAATCATGCACATATGCAATATATGTATATATATTAAGCACATATGCTTATATTTTCAGAGAAGTTTGGCTCCGTGACAGTCCTGTTTAGTGACATTGTCACATTTACCAACATTGCAGCGGCTAGTACACCTCTGCAAATTGTGAGCATGCTGAACAACCTTTATCAACGCTTCGACCAATGCACCAACAAACATAATGTATACAAGGTAGGACCACCAGTGTCAACGACAAATGTTGCTTGTTAATAAATTGGCACATGGTATACCTCTGGTAAAGTAAGAGAAAGTAGTTTAGTTCCCTTGATAAAGAAATATTTTTGATCTGGATGAGCGGAGATATGTAAAGTGACCTAGTTTGAAAAAGTATAAAAATCCTAAGGCCATTCAATAAAGAATTAACTTGCTGATGATTTCTAAAATTGAATAAAGTGAAAATTGTAATTATAGAGATACTACAATCACTTGTCACAATGCAGGTTGAAACAATCGGTGATGCTTACATGATTGTGAGTGGTGTCCCCGAGCAAAACAAAAATCACGCCCGAGAAGTAGCTCATTTTTCTATGGATATGATCCGAGAGGCATCGAAGGTACACTCACCTGTCAACAACAACCCTCTGCAGGTAAGTTACTTTCAATTTACATTTACTTTATGTATGTATGGAGATTTCATCATTATAAATCCATTAATCATAAATCATTATTTTGTTTTGTGTATTTGACAAAGAAGAAAACGCTCATCCTTCAAGAGCGTCTTATCGTAATCTTCTTGTACAAGGATTTCCAGTGTGTTAATAATTGAACTAAAATTCGACTAAATGATACGAAATCAAGCTTTGTTCAATTAAGAGAACGATTTATTTCCATAACCTTAATCACTTGGAATCTTTTTGAAACCCCCGAAACGAAGTTATATTTGAATTACCTCATCCGTCTGTCCGTCCGTAGACGAAGTTTGTCCAGCTATGTGTTGGCAAAGTTTTCGTCGGATCTCTTTTTTTTTTTTAAAGTTGTGAATGGTCAGTACAATATGGAGATGTACACCCTGACCCGACTTTGCACCCCTTCCCCCCTCCCACGAAAATAGTTTTTCTAGCTATAAATGTGTTCCCTGAAGTAACTTTGCACACACACCCCTTCCCCTTTTGGAGACTTATCTTCCTTTTTATATAAGAAAATGAAAGCTATGTTGAACGGCTATGCATTTTGAGAAATAGCTATTTTCCAAGCATCCAATTGACTTGAAATCAGGTTCACACGTAACATTTAATACAGGTTTATTCTTTTTCCAAAATGTTGGTAGCCATGGTAACTGGTAACTAGAGACACGTTTAACGATAAATGGCCATTACTCCTTAGTGATTCGACAGATTCTATTATTTGACTATGGTCAAGTGTTATGATTGATTGAAACCTTTAATAGGATACATAGCGTTTCCCTGAAACAGTTACTATGGCAACACAATCCTGGATTAAGTTTGATCAAAATTTAGATATTATCCGATTTTGACTAAATTTGGCATATAGGGATATAGGAGAATGACAAATATTACTGCATGTGTTTCCATGTCACGCCAAATCAGATGATGGTCTCTTATTGGCTGAAACTTTAAATATTAAGGGCATTGGGGAATGCCAAACGGCAATGTTTATGTTTTATTGTCATAAACAGTATGCTGAGGCAAATTGGGGCTTCTTATAGGTTAAAATCTAGATATTGTCTGTTTTTTTTTTATGTATACAGAGATATTATTGAATGCCAAAAGTCAATTTCAAACTGTTCTTGACTTTTTGCATGGAATTTTGACAAAATTTGGTATATAGAAGTCTTTGTATCTCCGCGGAGTATTACTAGTTAGGACCTATCTGTAAGAAAGAACTATTTTCCGATACATGCATACTTCATTTGACACAGAAATGTTCTGGCATCCTTCCTTGTACAGGCATATAGAGTTCATCTAAAATGTTTCCAACTTTCGCACAGTGAGTTTTTAGTGTCAAAAACAGACCGAATACATGATGCTATTGATAAAAAGGGATTCCTAGATATTTAAAACCAAATCAATAGGAAAGTAAATAAATCTTTATCACCTATGAATGTACAGGTATTTCTAATATATTTCTAAATTATGTAGACACCAAAAATAGTGGTGGATGTCCTGTAGTAATCAATCTGTCCATCCGTCCATCCGAAAAAACGCATAGCAGAGAGTTGAAACTGTGTATGCTTGTCTACTCCTATAAGACAGGAGTAAAAACTAATGATTTTTCCTGAGACCATAGGTCTGTCTTTATTTGCATCTATCCAAAACACATTCGTATTCGCTTCATAATATTGTAACCAGTTATAAAAGCGATTAGGAACTTTGTATAATTGTCAAACATTGAGGTGTGTCCCATACCAAATTCAAAGGAACCTATTAATGAATTATAGAAAAGTGTGTTCGCTTGATGTAAAGATTTAAAACGCGAGTAGCAAACAACACAGAATTTGTGTTGTTCTTTAAAGGCGATGATCTTAAACTAGAGGCTTCCCATATGATTAACTACATGAAGTTATGCCCGCTCTATTACATTGCAATCAAGCAAATCTTGCCACAATGACGGGGATCATATAGACTTTTTCGATCTCCACTTATATTTAGTTAATACACCATCAGTTATCAAGCATTTTTTGTTATTGTTTTCTAGTTTAATTAGTTTTACGTTATTTTCGGCAGGTATTTATCCTCTTCGTGTGAGAGCAACATTGAGAAAGAGCAAGAGCGAATGTTTACCTCCCATGCATAACATTTATTGGTTTGATAATTGATACATATAGAGATTCTGTCGAGGGGATGCAAAGCATGCGAAAACTTACTCATAATTCTTGAATTAAGATTAAATGTTGCATTTGAATGAGCTAAACCTAATACTGTAGTGTTGCTTATCCGAATTGCATTTCTATATATTGCATTTAATCCTGTTTAAATAAGATGTACATGGATGCACCATTAACTAATTTTTCCTGAATTGCGTTGTTATATATTATATTGATAAAGGAAAGTTGGCTAATGTTGTCACATTGATTGCATCATTAAATCTTATTTCCTGATAAATCAAACACTACACACACATATAGATACAGAAAGGTTCTTTCATCATGTGATAAACTTTAATCGAAAGAAGAATTCTAAAAGTCCAATTTATCAAATCAATTTAAAAGATTGTATATAAGACACAAGTGAATAGCACCTTTTAATACTAATTTAGAGTTAGAAACAGTAGAACACAACAAAGCCTTAAACTCAATCATGCAGCTGTTTTGTCCTTCTAGGACTCGTCAGCGCTTCTAAGGGCCTATTTTCAAGCTTAGAAGGCGATTTAAGAAAATGCAAAGTAATCAAAAGGAATGTTAAAATCTAGACTTGGGGAACAATAGCGCTAAATTTAGGAAATTTTATAATCGGATCTGGGATATAAAGTTTACAAGCAGTGTGTACCACATACTATCTCAAAGACTGCACGAAAAGACACACAAGTGAATAGCACTTTTAAATCAGAGTCACCTACAGCATAGCCACACAATGGATAATATAGCTGTTTCGACCGATACATTTTCTTCATTGTTATGCCTACAAAAAGGTACTAATACGTCTTTTGATATGTTTCGATACATCCGTAGTGAATATCGAAATGACGTACATTTGGTTGTCGGAACTATTTGACACATGGTATATATATATAACATGTACAAGCAAAACAATTAATGAAACTGCGTAAATGAGTTGTTAGATAATTATTTAAATGTAGTAGGGGTTATAAACAAGAAAATACCATTATATCAACAAAATCATTATCCAATCTCAAACTTAATAACATTAGGCCAAAATCTGAAAACATAATCGTCGAATATCAGCTGTTCGGGAAGGGTAAACGTATTCTACTTCATATGGAACATTTACGTATTGGTCAAAACAAGTAGCATTGCCACGTTCCCAAATAAAAAAATAGAATTACATACAATATATGCAAATTAAGAAAAATGCTCCGTCCTGCTACATCAAATGTTTTCCTCAATCTTTTTTCTACAGCGACACGAGCAGGGACAACATTCAACCAACCTTTCGTGACTTTTCTTCAATTTCTACGGTTGTCTTAAAACTTTCACTTGGTAAAAATATATTTCCTTCTGCGATATGAAGTTGTACGCCAAGGATGCTCTTTAGCACACCTGGTTGTTCCGTCGTTGTTTACCTTGTTCTCAGTCTTATTTGGTTTGCTTAAGTTGTACATGGCGGGTGTCGTCCATGAAGATGAATACGCTTACTCCCGAAACATCAGGTCTGCAATTTTCCTTTGTTCAATCCCTAGTTTTGATTGGTTTTGAGCTTGGATTATGATTATTTGGATATGTTAGCATTTTTCTTCGATAGTCTTGTCTTCAAAAATGTCATGCGTTACAGCCATAAATTTTACCTGCAAAAATAATTTTCCTGCAGAGCTTTCTCTTTTTCAAATGCAATAACTGTTATATCACGTTAATAAAATGATTGAAAAACGATAACCGATGTTCGAGCTCAGCGGTAGCGACAATATATATACACCAAGAAGACAATAAAATAAAATGGCATGAAATTAATATTGTAAATAAGTTTCCTTTATATGACCTTACGCCGTTTATTGGTAGGTGATTTAAGGTATTTTCTATCATATATATCGGTCACAAAGACACACGAGCTTCTCAAGAAATAATGGAAGACAGTCTCGTATGCTAAATGATTGTTCTCTGACTCAATTAACATCAGGAACTTGAACATTTGAATTACTTCCTTCAAATTACCCAAGCGATGGATTTTATTCGTTAAAAAATCATAGAAAAAGAACATTGTTCCGGAACTCTTTTTTATCTGCTGCAATTTCGTTATGTGAGAGCGAAAACTTTTGATTTCAGTTCTAAATGACCCTAAGTGTAAGGTTTAAATTGGTGAATGATGAATTGTTGTTTAAAATATTCGTTTTTTCTTCACATCCAATTCATTCGTTCAATTAGCTTTTATCAGCTGTGAAGCTGAAGGGAGTTTGGTTTTCATCCAACTTATTATGTAACCAACAATGATGTTGGGCATAACTACAAACACTAATGATTCCAATTGCAGATGTTTTCATTGTGAAAAGCATTTCACTAAATCTCAAGAGTCTTCTTGATTTCACTAACCAACTTGTACCGCACTATCTAAGATAATTAGCCTATCGTGTGTTTGTGTCAATGCATATGAGACCATGTGATGCTATCAGGCTTATTTCTTCGCGTTCCTTACTTGTTAATTATCGATTTAAAATAATATCTAAAGATAGAGAGGAAAGCATACTCACTGCTGAAACCAGTTTAGTGGTGTAAAAGGTGTTTATCAGTCGTTAATATACAATAAGACACAAATAACATTATCTTCAGTTGAGAATTAATTGAGCTGTTGGTAAATGTTTGCGTGGTAGCGAAAGCGATGGACTCGCTAATGTCCTTATTTAGCACAAAACTCGATATAAGAATTTCGACTCGATAATCTCCCTTGTTTATCAGTATTTCACTCCAGTGCTGACAAACAGCTTTTATTACGCAATTTATCATTAGGCATTGTGTAAGTAAATTAAAGTTGTGTTGATTGTAAGAACTGTAGTAAATTGAAATAGATAAGCAATCCTTTCACATGGTGTATTTTCCAGTTGCGACGTCAGTTAAAAGGCAGTCACAAGCATTTCAAACGAGTTTCCAAATCCATTGTGGCGTCAATGCTTACCAATGTGTTATCAAAACAATTATAGGATTCATGATGATAAATCTTTCTTTAACAGGACCTAGACACTAAGTCGATACAAGACAATGCATATGATACAAACCAAATCGTGTTGATTAAATACACCCAGATATATAATAAATTTCGATTCTAAAATTTAAAATAAAATGACATAGTTGAGCACGTAACACAGCTGGGAAAAAGGAAGAAATTGTCCGTTTATCACGTAACTGAAAAAATTCAGTGCTGTGCACGTGACGATATACCGTTAGTTACCGATTTGTCTCTTAAGTCTTTGATATCAAAACCTGTAGCCGAGGGTTTCTGTGATTCGATACTGTGTCTTAGAAGGAGCAATTTAATATCTTCGTCTTAAACTGTTATCCTGAAATTTCATTTTGCTTCATGAGTTTGTCTCCCTTTCTAAAACTTCGAAGAGCATGATCGAGTGGAGTGATAATAATTCATATTTACCTATTTGATTTCCTACAGATTCGAGTTGGAATACATTCCGGTCCTGTTGTTGCCGGGGTGGTTGGACTCAAAATGCCAAGGTATTGCTTGTTCGGGGATACTGTCAACACAGCGTCACGGATGGAGAGTCACGGTGTACCTGGAAGAATACACATCAGCCCAACGACTCATGCGTAATTTATCAACTTATTTCTCTCACTATATATTCTAGCCCTTTTGTACGTAATGCAGGATTAAAAAAGTCACTCAACAAATGTGATGTACCTTGCATTAAATCCAATAACCCAAATCTTCTCTAAGTGGAATCACGCCGGTCACGTGGTTTTCCTATTTTGTTAGCTATAGGCATATCCGGTATTTGAAAGCCCAAGTGATGCGGTATCATTTTACTGTGTTGTAAAGAAGAAAATAAATGAAAAAATGCCATAAGGACTGAAATTAAAAGAGATTACTTCATGCTATCACAATGAATTTTAATTCAAAGGGTCCCTTTCTAGAAGAATGGAATTTCGCCTACGCACCTACTTAAATAAAAGTGGGTGGTATTTGTAGCTCCTGGAGAGGTTTCCTAAGAAATAGGATAAAAAACTTCAAAAGGTCCATTAGGCCTGTGCTACGACCCATTTACTACCGTAACAAAAGAATATGACATGGTTCACTTTTTTATATGAAAAAGTATTAATACAAAGCGTACATTACCAAATGATATACTCTTTGGTTAACAAGGATCAGTTTGACAATACGGTCATAAACATGTATCAACATATGGCCAAATAGAAAAATCCATACAGTTTCAAAATTGAAAAAATATGATATTTTTTCTATATTTTCAGTTAAGACAATTAAAAAAAAAAAAAACAAAAACATAAAGCATGTACTACTAGTTTCAGTGCACCGAAAATCTTTATTTATTATTTGGCCCTGTATGTCAATAGCATTTGGTGAAGATTTCAGGAAAACTCGTAAATGTGTCATTTTAAAGTCAAATGATTAGTATTTCATTTCTAGTCAGTTTTGTTGGGGTCAGATAGGGGGTTAGTATTTCCTCAACGAAAAAACCATAAATGTCATAGATTTTAATGTTAGATGGTTCGAAAGAATGTTAGTACAAGTATGTTTTTTTCTATTAGATGATTCACGAAAGGATTTCTTTTAGGAAGAATGCAATTTTGCCTACGCACCAAAAGTGGGTGGCATTTGTAGCACCTCGAGTGACTGCCCAAGAAATAGGATTATGTTTTTCATCTAAGGCAGAAGCATTGACTGCACCGAAAATATTATATAATCATATTATACAATATTATATATATTAGATATTATTTAGCCATTTATGTCAAGAACATTAGGATGAAAATTTCAGGAAAATCAGTAAATGTGTCATTTTATAGTCAAAAGATTAGTATTTCATATTTAGTCAATTTTGTTGGGCTGCGGTAAGGCGGGGGTGGGGGGGGGGGGGAGTCTTGATCTACTGAACAAATCTGTTAAAAAACAATAGTGCACACAGTCATTTGATGTTAGTTTTGCATACGTTGCTGCAAGTTTTTAATGTAAATATAAAAAAAAATATCGATATTGTTAATTGATAAAAATTAATAATTTCGAACTTGACATATAGAACATTTCCGAAGAGAGGTTGCAGCCTACGTCAGATCGTCGACAATAAAATGTGGGATAGCGTCTGTGAAAATCTGAACATTATTTGCATTGTCACTACTGATATTTTGTATCTGGTCTTGGTCTTGTTTAGATACTTTGTGTAACACCTTTTGCAAATCTTGCTATCGGTTCCCATTGATAACGCCTCTTCTATGAGAAAAGATTTTTGATAGCTATTATGCTGAGAATCAAGAATCCTAGGCAATTTTGGGGTTTTCTCACTGTCTTTGAACCTTTTATGACAACTTGGAATAATGCATATGTCTTTCATTCTGATGCAATTACTGAACTAGTACAAGATATTACTCGATCTCGCTCATCTAATAAATATATATTGTTATACCTCTTACAACTTAATGTAGAACTGTATGATTCAAGAAAAATTCACAAACTACACGAGATAAAATAAGTCCACTACACTCACAGACATGTCCTCTATGCATGGTGACTATTTCATGTTTTTCAACAACCACCTCTAGACTCTATATACATATGTAAACACTTGCTTTGTCAGAATACGATAATAAGAATTAGATAATTATACTTATCTTTAATTGCAATTCCTTGAAATATAGTCACTTTGCTCGAGATTTAACATGGCAATTTTACCGGTTCTCAATTTTTTGTGACGCTATACGAGAAACTATACGATTTTTTTTATTTTGTGACATATTGATAGTTTTGATATTATCAAACCGATCCTTGTTAATCAGCCAGTATATTATTTGGTATATCAGTCTCCCTGAAAGAGATGCTTTCATGAATTAACCAATAGCATAAAAAGTCACATTTACTTGACATTCCTTCTGATAATCTAACATTAAAATCTATGACATTTATGTAATTTCAGGATGTTAGTTTACATTATCATCTTGTCTTAAACAGATAATTCGCTCTTTTTCAGTTGCCTCCTTGGTTTTCATAATTTAGGCCCTTAACATCACTCATAACATTTAGAACGACGAAATTGTTGTATAACCAATCTTCAGATTTCTTCCATAAAACAACAAAAAATTCCAACATGTCAGCACAATCATAATTAAAATTCAATAAAACTAGGGTAATTATGAACAAAAGAAAGATTTACACCGATGGCGTCTTGTCTTTGAATAGGAAGAAATGGTTTTACTTCGTCCATCGTATATTTCCACCAGAATTTGAAATCAAGGACGCCACAGAGTCTTCTATATCAGTTGCTTATGGCGATCTTTTCCGTCAACGTAACCAACATAAAGAGCTTTCCAAATTGTGTATGATAAGCGTTATGATAGCAATTTCCCTATTGTAAAAATTCCATTTCTTTATAGCAACATCCCTACAACCCCAAACTATAAAATTTACATGTCGAAACTTATTCAATATTTAGGGGCTTTTTACCATTATCTCCATTTTCTTGCAAGAGGTCGTCAACTGACGGACAAAATTGTACATACATGGTTTAAAGAGATGCAAGCTGAAAAAAATTATTGGCAATTTCTACGGTCGTCATACTGATTTCTTTGAGAATATTCCATTTCTTTCTTGCAATATAAAATTGGATGTGTTTGATGCTTATTAGTTTGCCCGTTGGGTCCGTTATTATTGTTCAAATTAGAGAGCGTGACATTCCTGACTTGGATTGGCCACTATTAACTTGTATGTCTTATCTACAACTTTAGCATGGAATGTGCTGTTCACTGTTGTGTCCCTTGTGTATTTATACGATACAGTTTGTTATCTTGAAGATTTCTTCAGTCATGAATTCATTTAAAGCATTGCGACCGTGGGAATTTAAGTCAGTTTATATACATGTCAATGTCACCTACGATGGCAAGAACACACGTATGCATAGGTCGGTAAACGACGTCTTAAAATACCATTACATCACACAACCTGCGTTAAAAATAAATCATCTGGTTTACAGAAACATATCTTCTACATTTACATACCGTTAAGTTCGATAACAAATACGGATCCAGGTTACCACTATTTTATGTTGATTGTGATAACTTTAGTTTGTATTGCTCTCCACAACTTATTTTATCTAATTTTACGATTGATAAATGCATTTATTTTAAATGGCATCATGGGCGTGTTCTTCATTTAGTTTATATGCCAGTTATCCAGCTTCACTTGCTGCACACTAAAATGTATTTTTTTCAGAAACCCCCTTCAAAATTTGATATCTTCTATGTTCGTTATCGGATGAAGTCAAAATTACGATACAATTCGTCATTAGTCTCTTTTATTGATATGGCCTTGTGTTATTTCTTTCTTGGAAGCATGGTCGTAACCTAGGAAACGAAACATTAAACGAGCTATGGCTCGAGATAAGAATTCTAGAAGTTTCTTATCGATTTCAGACAAAGATATGTGGGAGGGTAGACAGTGATGAAAATTGTCTGTAGTAGGTTTACAACTGCAATGGAAATCATACACAATATCTTGAGGAAAGAAATAGAAACTCCACACCATGGTCAGTGGGAGGAAATAAATGTGATCAAACGCAATACCTTGTGAGCGGAAATGGAAATCCAACACAATACCTCGTAGGTGGAATGGGAAAACCAACACAATATCCTATAAGAGGAAATGGAAATCTGCCACAATGTCTTGTAGGCAGAACTGGAAAACCCACACAATATATCGTAGGTGGAATGGGAACTCCCACACAATACCTCGTAGGTGGAATGGAAAATCCCACATAATATCTCGTAGGTGGAATGGGAACTCCCACACAATACCTCGTAGGTGGAATGGGAACTCCAACACAATACCTCGTAGGTGAAATGGGAAATCCCACACAATATCCTGTGATAGGAAATGGAAATCTCACAAAAAGCCAAAACGCCCCGCGGGAGGAAACATTTTGAATATTCATGAATGACGTTTAAGTTTTTATTTGGAACAGGACAAGTGATCTGTAAACGTCCTCATGCAAGGCCAAACATAGCTTGCGAGAGAAGCTATAACAAGAGATAAAATGGAATTATTTAAGAAACTTGATCTATCTTCATGTTGATGGTTTATGACATATGTACAATACACCAATTACGCTTTCATCGAGATGAAAATAATGAACGCAACAATTTCTTCGTGTTGGCAAGAAAAACCAATAGAGGATTTGAGTGTGACGTTTCGATGAGTACAAGGTCACTCTTATTAGGACAACGACAACATTTAGAGCGTACTAGCCCTGATGTACGTAGTGTACGTGATGGTAAGGAAGTGTACGATTTTTTTCGGAGGAATCATAATCCTAAGTACATGAAGGTCGAAAATAGCTTGATAAAATTGTAAACAGATTATACATAAAAGTACACAAAATGACATTAGTGTACTGTAGTAAGTTTCGCTATGAGTTGTTTAACACTGGGTCGTAAATGTGCCCCTCCCCTCGTTTCTCTTGAGCAGTTGCCTGCTCTGGGGTTTCTAGATGACCTTATTGACCAGCCGCCTGTCTTGTGTGGTTTCATGACTGTTGCAATACCATGACAACGCTAAATCCTCTGAATGGTTTCTGACAGACCTTTGTTGTAAGGACTGCCTATAATTTTATTTAGTATTGTTTACTTGTTGATTGGACTCTTTTTAAATTATTTTTGCTTTCTACCAAATTGTGATTTTTTTTGCTTCTTGTCTAGTTCTTTTGTGACAGTCGTTTTACATCTGTTGCACAGAGATTGTACAACATCAAGCTTTTGGTGTAAGAGCAGGTGCGATGGGAATTTGAGATATTGGTCCGTTTGCCTTCTTATCTTATATATCAATACAGTACCCTCATCTTTCCTTGTTAGGTGTCATGGAATGGCATAGTGTCATATATTGTTTCCTTACAGGTGAATTTGGTGGTATCTACGGTATCGATTTGCGCAGTCAAATCTCTTTGTAATTGTTGACTATTTCCATAATCGCATCACCATACCGTTTGAACAGATAAGGCATGCAACCTACAAGGGCCGTAGGTATTGTACAAATTCTAGTAAATCCATAATGTCTTGCATATGGATAATAGTAATTTTTTGCCATGACAGGTCTTACTTTATGTGGCTCCGAATGATACCAAACATTTTGTCAATGAGTGTGCTGGTAAAAAGAGACACTACACTGTGTGATATCAATTCTCGGTCGTATTTAATAAGTACCGTGGGATACTACCTACAAAGTCTTTCGAATTTTTCAGATAAGGTTCTGATCTCCCCACCAGCGTCCAAAAATCTCTGCTAGTGACCTGAAGACATTCTAACTAATAGAACCAGGGAAGTCCATCATGCGCCGTATGTCCTATCTTCTTTTTGGATCATGGGTGCACACAACACTTTAGCAATGTTCTCTAGAAGTGTCTATATTATAATTCAAGGATCTTCTTTTCAGCTATAGTTTTGATAAGATAGCTGACCGGCGCTTTTTTAATTTTTGGGTAGTGTTGTTTTTGAGTGTTCATGTGCTTTGTTGTCTTTGAGCATAGCAGCATCTTTGCTCTCATATTGGTCAGCGACCATGACGACTGTCATTTACCCCATGTTTACTGGTAAAATTATGATCTGGCCTTGCTCAATTGTTAAAGTGCAATGCGTTCTTCCTTTAATATTATTATTTGCTGGTAACTTTGTTGATTTTTACGACATCTGTCATTTGTGATCTCAGTTGATCAATCGCAGCGTAACTTGAGTTCTTACTTAACTGTTCATCAATAGGAAATTTGTCTGAAACGAGAGCATCATTCAAACCCTTACAATTACAGATATAGTTAGTAGTGTTTTGTCGTTATCCGTAAGCTGAGTGTTAGAGATGTTAATCATCCATTTGTTTAGAATAGTTTCATTCTAATCCCCAGCTGCCATTGTGCTGTTTTTCGTCGATTTCCGTACCAAATAATTCCTGTTTGTCAAATGATGTTCGTTAGTCGTAATAAACACTGCACTTCAACAATTTGTTCATGTCTCCGCGAGTGTTACCCGGTAACCGCTAAGTAAACAACCGTGAATTTTGCTATCCCGCTTTTTAATGCATGTGTTAATATCACATATTCTTTCTCTCACTAGATCTTTGTGCACTTTACTAATGATCTTTCCGGCGTTGATAGTCTTAGTCGAGCATCTAATGTAGAGACTTGAAGGTGTTATTTCTAAGTGCCTACATCGCAGCGTAAAAACAAATTGATTTCTGTGTGTCGCTAATTTCTTTTTATAAGATTTATTTTTGCTATGATATTTCGGACTACTTTCTTCGGTGTGGTTATGTCATTATGATACTATAACATAATCAGTAGGAGATTTGAATGTGACATTTCGATGACTACATCGTCAACTTCATCAGGCAAATGATCAGTGTGGAGCTTACTAGTACTGTCGTGCGTACATAATGTTCTTTATAAGGAATCGACCAATTTTTCGGTTGTTCTACATTCCTTTGTGTACTAAGGTCGAAAATAATGTGACGAGATGGTAAACAGATTATAGAAATAAATGTACACAACCTTGTAAATATACTGTAGTCAATTCGGCTACGGTTTGTTTAACACTTGGTCATAGATGTACGGGAGTCTGGAAGAAATAATTTTAGTCTATTAGATGCCTCGTCGACAGTCTTAAATGTCACCGCTAATACCGATCGTCTTATTATCACTGCAGGATGTGGGGATCATGTGTATATTGGTGTATAATTAAAAAACGGTACAGTATAAGGATGTAATTTGTAAAATGACCTTCCAAGCAGAGGAACGAATAGATGACTTGATTAAAAAATACCTCCATCAATAACTTAACCTGATCCCTGTGGGGGCGTTTAGACTATGTACCTTTTCATACGGCCTTTTGATTAAAAAACGTTTTGTGTAGTAGTGATAATCTGCCGTATTTCTAAGTGGTTGGTCATGAAGTGGTATAAGCGACACCGCATAAGATGACGAGACAGGAAACGGAAAAATGGTTGAAAATGGCCAGTTTCAATTATTAGCAATTGTAGCGCGAGCGCGAAGCACGGGAGAAAGGGAAAAATGAAAATTGCCACATATGCAAGCAGCAACGAGGTTGTGACACGGAAGTGAATTTCCCAGTAATGCCCTGCACCAGTGGCGGATAGCTACGTGGCGGACATCGCAACAAATAGTGTCGTTCACCAAGACGCTGTAACACGTTTACAGGTACAAAGAGTTTGACTGATCGAGAATAAGCTTAGGTTGAATAAATATTGTCGCCACATAGTTTGTCACGTTTGTTAACCAAACTGATATTAATCATTGATAATACTACGCTCGCTCCAATTGGCATTGCCATAATTCATATCAAATAGATACCCTGAAATGCATTGTCGATCATATAAAACGAGACGTATGGAAATGTTTTAATATACAGTAGGTTATTTTTCCCCACTATTTACATCAGTTTAAGTGTCATACGTTATGAGTTTTGTATTAAAAAATCACAGAATTCACCGACATGTGTACGGATTATTAGTTCAAACATAAAGTCGATGACGCTATGGCAAAATAAGAACGAAAGAACAATCTGCACTGAGATAAATGTACGACACTCTCGATGTGAATCCTAGTCAATCAGAGTAAGTGACAAGGTACACAACAACGAAATAGGCAGGCTTGTTAACGAGCATCAATCATGTCAAACTTTATATCGTAGAAATAAAAAAGTTCTCATAAAAATAACTGTGGCGACCATAAAACGTCCTCATAATTTTATAAAATTACCTAAATTGCTCGAGAAACACCGGATGGATCTGTTTCAAATTACGTACGTTGGTTCCACGTGGTTCATAGTTGTGTTATTTTGAAATGAAACTGATCAGATAAACATAATTGATAACGTACGCCCATCTTTGACTTTGACCATGACTTATTGTTATTGCTATTTCATGAGAAATGCGAGATGGTTCTTTTACGAATTTCACATATAAATTATCCTTGGTCGTTAATTGTGGTTGTCTGATTTAGGGATGGATCAGAAAAAAACAAACAGGTCGATATGTGATCTTCATTGGTTTGTCAATAAACAATTATTGTCACCATTTCATCCGATGATTTCATTGAATTAAGTGCAAGAACAGAGGAAAAAAACCAAAGAAAAGATCAAACGTTTAAAACACATATAAAGGCCAACTAATTGTGGGCATCAATATCCCTGTTGGATCTAGCCTGAAATCCTATAAATTTGGTCGTTGGCAATATATGTAAGAACATGGAACAGGAGATAAAACATGTCGACAATTATCATATATCGACCGTCTTCTACAGAGCTGGGCGGATGTTGATGCCTTCATGATATCATAAACATATGATGATAAGAAAGGATAAAATATGTTGTCAACGCTGAATGAATTCTGAGACCAATGAATAGGAAATATGATTTTATCAAATGACACCAACGGAATCAACAATCAGATCTCAGTTAAGATGTTCTTAAATCATGTCAAATGTGAGAAACTGAATAAAATTTATCAAAAGTTTAATCTCAAGATATCATTTTAAATTTGAAAAATGAAAATCTCTCAAGGTATCTAGTATAAGCAACAACATCCAACAATTCGACTGTTATTCTTCACAGCATGCTTTGTTAACTTGATGTTTGTTTACAACTTCGTGTTGTTTTTTTTTATCTTCTTATTAGTTCATATCTGGTGTTTTCATGCCAGATGACGATTACTGTGATACTTGTCTTGTGAAGGTAGGGCACATTTTCACAGTTTGCATATCGCCACCGTCTCTTGTACTGCAATATCATATTAATATTATTTTCACTTTGAATATACTATTGTCTTTGCTATTTTTTCAGTCTCTGTATAAATCGTTTCTTTGTTTATTTTATACGTTTGTTTGAATTAAAATTATGGAGACATGTTGGCATTTTCTTTGTTTTTTTAAGACCATTTTGTATTCTTTATAAATATTTCTGATATTGTATGCATTTTATATTTTTCAGACTTTTAGAAGGAGACAATTTCAAGCTTCGTGATAGAGGTCCTATCGAAGTCAAAGGCAAAGGAAGTATGAATACATTTTTTCTGCTTGGCATGGCTGATAATCTAGTGAAGGAACCGATTGATGACTTTATAAACCTCCCTATTTTACAATCAAATGTTAATTTGATCTCACTACCAGGAGAGGGTGGGCCACAATCTCATCAGAAGCAGATGACGAAATCATCTACTTTGAGCCAAACTTCAGCGACTTCTAAGAACCAGAGTTTTACATGTGTTTTATCGTGACAATTCAAAGTTATTTCTCCCAAAGAAAATGTCGATCGTCCATTGCATGTTATTTTATATTCAAGACGACAGTCATGGTGAAATAACTGACTATTATTATGAGACAAGGACTCTTTAATGACTCGAACTTTTCATGATACATGAAGAAGTAATCATTAATGCATATATTTTACCCACATTGAAAATAGAATGACGATACACATTGATTTTCTCTGAAGATCATGACTCAGTTTCAAGCTTATGTGTAACAGCGAGACTATCAACAAATATTTAAAACATCACTGCTATACAGTGAACGTTCTATTTTCATTTTTTTCTATCATACACTTTATGATCCGCGATCATTGAAAAGAATGTCAAAGAAAGACAGTAAGTTTAGGGAGAACTTAAAGGTTAATGAAGTGGTCGTTTTTATTATAACTAAAATGCAACTATCAAACAACACCTGTACCTAATTGTTTTCTTATACATTAAAAAATCTGGCGAGAAACCCTCCGAACCAAGGTTCTTATCATTTTTATTTCTCAAAATTTTTTACCTGTTTCTTCTATCGAAAAATGCAATCTTGGCATTTCGTTTAGTGATAATAAACCCTCACAACGAATTAGGAGAAAGGATACAATGTACCACCCTGTCTGTCTGGATGTTGTCTGCAATATTGTCCGGAGAACTTCTCCTAAACCGGTGAACCAATTTCAATGAAACTTCATATTAATATAAAGGACCGTATGTAGACATGCATGCAACGTTATTTTACCAGATATTCCGGTTGCAATGATTAGTGTAAGATCTTTGTATCTGAGGAGATAATAATTATCCACAGGATAACAGTTCTAATCTAGTTTTGAAACTTTAAAATGCTTCAGAAAATGTATTCCATCAACCACAATTCCTGAAGCATCTTTTTTTCATAAAAATTTTCACCTTCATTAGAAATTTCTACCTGGGCCGTCATATGTATCACTATTTTCTTTCCGTATTTTGGGGGGATAATGTTTAATGTATAATTTCTATTTTCTAAGCTTAAGAAATATCTTTTAGGCTTTTCCGTTCCTCTATCATTTTAACGTTAATGTAATCTATTAACCTCAAATTCATTTTTATAAGTCAAATAGAGAGTATATCAATAGTTTTCTGTAGAATGCAAGACTAGTCCGTGGAAACGATATCTTGATAATATATTGGAAATAGTCAAGAAGGGGTCACAGAAGGAATTGATAGCGTGTATGAACACCGTAGAACCACCAACAGCATCAAATTCATTCATGATGAAGAATTCGGGGTTACTTAGCAATTCCATGCCATATTTCTAGGAAAGAAAGATGATGGTTTTATCTAAGAAATGGTCGAGAAGAAAAAGGCACACAAAGGCTGACCAATACCAAAACGTCCAATCGCATCCCCCTTTACACCAAAAGTAACGTTATGAAAACATGTAGATACTTTCATCCAAAAAAATAACACCTATTTTTGGGAAAGCAATGAAACGACCAAGAGACGAAACTCTAAGGAAAAGAACAAAATGAAAGATCATCCCTTATATCAAAGGCTTGTCAGAAACCAATTAAATTATCAACAATGGTCATACTGTGAACAGCCATGAAATCTCACAAGACTCTCCGAAATGTCCTTGTCCGTCTTAAGGACGAAACATCCAAGACGATGTAGATTGCGAAAGCAAAACCAAATGTGAAATATATATATATCAGAGAATGGACAAGAGATTCGGGGACCGATTTCATGAACAAATCTCCAGAAAACAAAAAAAAAAAAAAAAAAAAACCCACCAGAACAGAGCGAAAAGCATTCTCAGTCCAACATATATAGTAATCCACTTCCTCAGACAGTGATGTTGATATGTCGCTTTTAAATCGATATCTTAAAGTTTGTTTTATTATCGCCATTTTCGAACAAGATGTTGGCAATTGTCATAAATTCAAAACATTAAAATTCGAGAGATGCAGGATGATAAAGATGGGTAAGTTTCCTGAGTGATGATGATGATGTATGTGACAAAATAAAAGTAGTAATGATCAGGAGGATACCAATGGTATCCACAATTTCACATTGTTTACGATGATGACAATAAAAACGATGACTCCTTCATTTAAAGTCAAAATCAGCTTTAATCAATCGTCTTCCCCCGATTGTACATTAAACTTAAATATAAACATTGAAACAACTTGACTACTTACCCTGTCAATGTGTTTTTATGACACACAAATAAACAAAGGTATTTCAAGAAATATTTTTATGTGTAATTCTTGTCTGTCCCCTTTTGTGAGTATATTAACTTTAAAGAAAATAGTAAAACTTAAAACTAAAATCCATGCCTCTTCCTTACAACTATCCAATCCCTTTCCACCCAAAGTGACCCCTTACGGAAAGAATGGAATTTTGTCGTAACCATAGGAGTATGACAAGGTTCAGTTTTTCATCTGAAAACGTATTAAAACCACAGCGTACATAACCAAATGATATACTGTTTCATTTACAAAGATCTGATTGAAAATATGGTGGTATATATGTATCAAAATATTGCAAAATGATATATATATATATATATATATATATATATATATATAGTTTATTAAATTGAAAAAGATCTTTTTTTTTTTTTTTTTTTTTTTGTCATTTTTTTCAACTGAGACAATTTTCAAAGAACTGAGGCATGTATTTCCAGTTTGAGTGCACCAAAATTCTTTATATATTATTTGGCCCTTAATGTCAAGGATGTATGGTAAAAAATTCAGTCAAATCGAGAACCGGTAAAGGAGTCATTAAAAGCCAAAGGATTAGTTTGTCAATTTTAGTCACTTTTGGTTGACAGGGGACAGTATTTCTTTTAAAAAAGGTATGTTAAGCCAATGGTGTACATAGTCATTAGATGTCAGTTTTGAATAAGTAGAGATACAAGGAAAAAAAATTCTCATTGAAAACATTGAATTTGGTTGTCAGTTATCCAGTTGTTTAGCTTTCTTTTCAGCTATAACAGGTTTCTAATCATTTCAGTATCAGCAGTTCCCCAACTCTTGCTTATTTGAGCTCAGACAAAACACATCACAAAAATGGTAGCCCTTTGCAGCAACAAAAGTTTGAATACCAAAGATGTTAATCTCGACAGCTGCATCAGGCAAAATGTGTTGGTGCAAACGGATAGAGGTGTCAACCCCTTCTATGTATTCATTGTACCAAATGCATTGGAGGATATTTTCAAATTAATTTATAAACTAATTAACCATGTTTCATCATTACTGGACATAACATCAGAATCTTTGTTTTAAAGAAATCCTGTGTCAACATGAAGTTTCCATTGTTTGATTTTCATGGATGGTCTTTTTTATAGCTTGTCTCCTTACAGGTGCATTTTGATGTTCTTGTAGCATTATTATAATGACATGTAGAAAACTCTTTTGACGCACTTGATTTTTATAACAAGAAAGAAAGAAGTTTCCTCCATTATACGAATTTGTGAAGCTGTTTCTGTCCCTTGTGTATTGATGATTAAATTTGTATACAGTAGTTTTGTCCAAATGGACAAATTCATTTAATGTTTTTTTTTCCCGAAAGATAACATAAAATAATGTTAGCCTCAGTGTTTTTCACAGCATATAAACTTCCTCTACTATTTGTAGCAATATGATTTGTTAACCTTTGGAAGAGTTATTGCCCTTTGTAAATTTCACATGTACGTTGATAAGGGAGATAATTCACCAGCTATAAACAGAAGAAAAATTGTTAGCGAATGTATTTCATCTTAATACACATGAAAATTCTGCGTTGATTTATGCAACCATGCAGATATTATGTTTTGCATAATCATTTGTACAGTTTTGATTGAAATTTTATTATTTTTAAAAAAAATTTATGTCACTGTTGTTTACGTGAATATATCGCCTTTTTATGATTTTTAGTCAGAAATATGATATATTTACATTTGAAGGCAAACTTAAATGCCGCTGTTTTATGATAATATCATTTGTCATCTAAGATACTGATAGTGAAAACAACACACAACAATTCAAGCTGGAAGAAGGATTTTGCCTATTTATTTTCAGAAAAAAATGTTAACTTTTTCATCAGAAAGGTAACAGATGATGATTAACACTATGAAATATCACATAGTATTAACAATATGAAAAAAACAATGATTACGAGTGAAAACAACCCTTACATACATAAAAAGTACTGCTCAAGGTTAGCAACATGCCCTGGGAAAACGATTACACTGACTTATCGTTCGCCTTTCTGTCTTGATACACCTTTAAAATGAGGTATGGCTTTCAAAAAATAGTCATTAGAAGACTTTTCACTAGAGAAGATTCTTAAGTACGTTATAAAATATTTGAGAATTTTTTTGAGAAATACCATTTTGAGCAAGTATTCAAGTTGAGAATTTGGAGATGAGAATCCGGATCTAAATAGTTTCGAGATCCCTGCGCTTGATCTTATTCCCTATATATTTTCATAAGCCTGCGTGTGATTCTTTCTTTTGTTAATATTTTCACCTAGCATTATTGAATTTGAGATTGGATTAAGGATTTTGTTGACATGTTGATGTTTTCTTTGTTTTTTAAATGTTCAATTGTTCCAGAGAACGATCATTCAAAATTGATTCGTCCACGATGTCATGAAGCGTTGATCAAGATTGGTTCCATTTTATGTGTGATACCGTGAATTTACACGGCCAGAGTAGAACTTATTTAATTGGTTGATTGATTACCTGTTGTCACTGGGAATACTGTATACTAAGAGGTATTCCTGCCCCGAAATACGGCAATGATCTTTAATTGGAATAACTAATGATTTTGAAGTGCCGTGTAGTACTTTTACATTTGATGACTCCTAAGTTAAGTAGTTTTAAATCCCTTTTGCAATAGTCTTGGAACTTAAATGGCTATAACAAATTGATTGAAAATAACAGAAATTTATCTTTTAAGTGAGTGACGTCATTCCGTTAACCCAATTCAGAAATGGTCAACGTTTAAGTCTTTATTGTT